TTTTTAACTATCAAACTACATGCTTGCCTGTAATTTAAAGTGACAAAAAACAGTCTTTTCAAAACAACTGACTTTCAGATCATGCTCAATGCAATAAAATCAGTGACTATTACTATGATAAAAGAAAATAATAGTAAATGTTGATCTCTCATAAGAATTATTTGTTTTCAACTACGATCTCTTGAACTGACGTATGCATCTAGAGCAGACAGATAATATTAATTAATTTATGATTGTTTCCGTCTATGGTATTTTCTCTTTAGGTTGCTGCTTGTAGAGTGTATAAAATGACTCATTTTCATAAGTGTTCTAACGCATACATTAGTCTAGCATGCCAACAAACGATTGTAATAATAAAATTCGAGTCACAACTTATGATCAATCGTCTTCATTATTATTTTGTTAACTGTTTATCCTCGTATGCTTCAATCAGTACGAAATTTTATTCACCGATTGTGAAAGAGTAATCCACTAAAAACAAATATTTTTCTTTTCATGCAATGGTGATTCTCTCTGAAAACAAATGTTGTGATGGCATAAAGATGTGTAAGAGAAATTTAATTAGCATATCGTGTTTTCTTTTTGTGCCTTTTCATAATGTTTTGCTTCTCTTTTGAATGCAACTTTGTTAGGTTGCATCGCTGTTGACACAGCAGCTCAACATATGAAAAATAATAGTCCAAGGGGGGAAAGCGGCTCCTGGGTCCTTGGATTCTGACTAGGGATGCAACGGTGACGATCAAAAACCGTTCCACCGTCACCGTTTCACCGCTTGAGACCGGTGAAACGGTGGAGCGGTGCACCGTTGGACCGGGCCCCGGTGGGAGCGGTGGAACGGTGAACGATTAATCGTCACTGTTGCATCCCTAATTCTGACGGCTCTTTATGGATCCTGGTGGATTCTACTGGATTCCAGTGAATTCTTATGGATTTTGGTAGATGTTTGAAGATATGCGAAGATCAGTATCAACTCCTTATCGCTGTCACTTGCTTTCTTTTTAGTCTAATATAATGACTTATCCCGTTAGACTAATTTGCTTTTTAAGGTTTTCTGTTGTAGCTTCTTGGATTGATATTCGTCTTCGCAACATAAAGTCTCGTAATCATTAACATTCTGTACAAAGTTGCAACTCTATTTGTTGTCAAGGGAAAAGTTAAAAAGATAACTTATAAATCCCATGACACACATGAAATTTGAATCTTTTTCATAAAAATATGGGATAGAGTGATGAATTTATTAACTACGCAGTAAGTAGCAATGATTCAAGTATTTTTCACTTTTTGCCATAGCATTCAATACCATATTTAAAAAAAAACTTGTACATAGCTGTCAGTTCATATATTTGAACCGCTCGTTGTAAACCAAGTCATACTGATGCACTTGCTAGAACTTTGAAATTTAACACGCAGAATTAATCAATACACAGGCAAAGTCATCGGTAGAAATAAAATAGTATTCTTCGTTTCAACAGTATCGTCCATATTACAAAAAGACTAAATAATTTTTTCAGAACTATTGTAACACATGCCCAGTCATAGAATAATATGACAAATAAATCCTTCGGTTCTTCTCTTTTTGTGTACAATAAAATCTGTAAGTTTTTTTTCTAAGCGTTTAGATACAAGAAACGATAATTAGACCATTTAGATCTTTGAAAAAATGAATGGTCACTGTCGTAATTTTTTCAAAGCACAATGAAAATCATAGATCCTGCGTATATAAGTATCGTTGTTCTCCTTAGCAATTGCAAATTGTTTAAAATATTGAGATAAATTCAATAATCAAAATGAATCCTAGCGGATTTTGGTGGATTCTATGGATCCTGGTGAAATCTGCGGCTCCTGGTGGATTCAAGAATCCATCAGGGCCGCCAGGAGTCGCTTTTTCCCCTTTGCCTTGGAAACTTTGTGATACTTTGTTTAAACAAAGCAGTGTCATTTTGCACTTTGACGGCTAAATAAAATGTCATTTGACTTTTTATGTGGCAATTTCGAATACATTCATAATCTTTCATCAAATATATTTACTAATTCTATATTCAATTAAGGTCAAAACAATTCTGAACACAACATTCATCTCATCATTATGAAATATTTATTAAATAGAAACATCTTTGTTACTCAATATTCTTAATAATACCTGATTCGGTATCTCTCGTTGAACATCATATTATTTTGTTTTATCTTTCAATTTTATTCCGAACAAATATGATAGAATGCAAATAATAGCAAATAGCATCAAAATCAAAATAAAACAAATGCCAAAAGTGCTTAAAATAAAACAATCAGTTATTCAACCAAGATGGTAGTGGTGGGGAAGCTGATTCTGTGTCGATAGAATTATTGGAATCACATAGAACCACTCAGAATCACATGGAATCCCAACATCTAAAAAATGCATGCTTATGCTTCTTATCATGCTTGATCGAATACATAGCATCGATTAGAAACAGCTAATTAGCTCTTGGCAGCTTTTCACTGAGTAATAGAATTAATTTCACCATTTTACAACAACAAAACAGATTTTATTAAACTCCTGTATACTTTCGAAGAAAATACACACGTTTGTAGGTTTAAATGGAGGTTTTCGCAACTTCCTCTTCACTCTAGCAATGACGAGTGAGAAGGGGATAGCAAAGCCAACGATTATCGACTAGATTTCTTAGTATAGAGAGAAGGAGCGCAAGCAATAACGATGCTTATATTTTTCTAAAACTCTGTACACCCTAACTACGTAGTTTAAATATTGCAGGTTTTGGTATTTAATGCAGCGAAAGGGTGTTATTCAGTAGGCCGATGCTATTACTCATTTAATAGAGTAAGAATAGGATGATCACCATGTAAAATTATAAAATAGTGGAATTCCAAATTTAGAAAAACCTCAACTTATATCTCATAATTTGTCAAAAGAAATAATAGTCCATGCTGCGAATACCGGGCCATTTTTTGCGCCAAATTTTTATTGATGGGAGCCGGTAATCGGACTGGTAAAACCACGGTTAACCGCCGACTTTCATGCGGTTTTTATGACATGGGAGTGTCAGATTCTTCCTAAATGATCAAATCAATGTATATAGCCAATTGATATGGTAGTCAAATAGACGATTGAAAGAATAAAATGATATTACACCTCATATAACGTGTGATGCATATTATTATTGGAAGAAAAGAATTGACGCTTTGAAGATGTAATGTATTTCACAATAGAAAAAACGTTTTCAGTCTAACAATATTAAATAAATCTAATAAATTGCTCGAATAATAGTAATACACGGATACGTTTTCGGTAACCGACTAAAGTGTCCCTGAAAAAATTTCACTTCAAAAATGTCCCTCATTCTAAAGTTTCAGTTTTTAACTATAGTACACTACTGGAACGTAGATAATGCCGTGATCGAAAATGTATTGGCACATACTTTCTTTGTTTACCTGGAGGATCAGTATTGTATATAAATAAGCCCAATAAGTACGAAAGAAATTTTACATAAATACGATTGATAGTTTTAATGTCATATTTCATTCGCAATCGTAGCAAAAGACATTTTAATACAATCGGAAGATTTAACAATGATGGACGAGATCGAATTTTCATCCTCATCTCAATCATCTAAACATTCGCTTTTACTAGCAAGTACAACCAAATCAACTATTACTAAACCAAACCCAAATAACTAGAAACCCATGCGTGACGGTATCAGTGTAAGTACTAAGGTTCACCAGCACTCAACTCTTCATACTAAATGGTTCACGTCTAGAATCTCCGAGCAGTGCATTAAAGAATTATTTGATCGGTACCACAGCAAGCAAATTACCCCACACGAATTAGTAAAAGGACTTTCTTGTATATCGCGGTTGACCAATAAAATCGTATTCATCTTTATAAGTTATATCACATAACTAATCTTATCTTCAATCATAGCTCGCATTTTACAAAAAGGACGTTTTGAGAATGATAAGCCAACACAACATCGAAAACGAACTGTTTCTATAAGATTCAAAGACTCAGTTACTACTAGTACGATCGAACAACGTGATGATAATCAAAATGAAGAATATTATAGCATATACATTTATTACCAATTAATTGATAATATATTAGTAGACCTAAAAGATCGATTTTCCTCCAAAAAGTTTGAATATTTTATCAAATATATTATCATTATATCCAGATAGTGATACTCTTTTGCATTTCAACTCATTAAAACCATTTGCTGATCATTTGAATATTGATGTTGGTATTTTATTTAATGAATTAGTTGTTGTAAAGCCTATGTTAAAAAACAAATCATTGGCTACTATAATTGATTTATATCAAGAATTATATCCTTTTATAGAACCGTTTCCAATATTTGTTGCATTTATCGAAAATGCGATGATTATTCTAGTTACTTCAACGACGTGTGAACGCACTTTCTCAAAAAATGAAACTGATCAAAACAACAGTAAGAAATACAATGACTGATGATCGCCTTAGTAATTTGTGCCTATTAGCTGTTGAGCGTAATATTGATGTAAATTTTGAACAGTTTATTGATAAATTCTCAGATATTCACAAAAAATAGTCGAATTATGTTGAAATAAATAACAATCTTTTTTCTGTTTATTATATTTTGATCATATGCATAAATAAACTGATGGCTCATCAAAGCTATCAATGTGCAAACATAGATTTTTAACTTGATTATGATATTATGGTTGAGTTTATTGATATAAATCTTCGGTCAGCTGAAGTGATGACTCATACATAGGGGGCTGAACCTCCCCGCTCTCAAATTTCTGGTTTTGCCGCTATTGGTGTTATCTATGTTTTTAAAACATAAACAGTAAAATAAATATATTTCACAAAATAAGATACCTTACAATTATTCAAGAGATAATTGTTATTGTATAAATTGCAGATGATGTCGACAAAATTATCTCGATTTAATTTTAATGATTGTATATTCGTTTTGTGCTTTATGAACTTGAGAACGTTATATAATTCATACATTTCAATTTTTTTATTTCTCCCTCATTTGTTTAGCAATATGAACATAATGGACTAAAATACTTGGAGAAGATAAATTTTATTTGCATAAGCTTAAGTCTTACTTGCATTGATATGCGCATACTTTTCCATGAAATAATAGATTTTTTTATTGCACATTATCGTTTGCTGACGACGTTTTCTAAGTAATGCAATTAACAACAAAAAGAAACAAATTACCAGCAAAATTCTGTACAGTATGATATTATTGATCAAGAAGGTGTATATTACTATTGAAATAATTAAGATATGATTGGCTTTATTAGAAAAGAAGTTACTCACTCATATTTTGTTCATGTATCTGTTGTCAATAACTTGACTTCTTTAGTTGTAATTAATGTATTCGATCCATCTGTAAGATCAACAAGAAATGATAAATTAATACGCGAGTTGTCTTCAGTATCCATTAAAAAATATTTAATGTTGTTTGGAATTTCAAACTCATCTCGGATAGTTGCATCAATAGTATTCACAGACGTATCACATCGAAACCTATATTTCATTTTTTGTGTAATTACCATAAAGAAAATTTATAATTTTCGTAGGACACGTCATCGTTAAGTTAAAGAATAAATTTATTGTTGTAAACAACAGTGTAAAAAAATACGACAAAAGAATTATATTAACAACACTCTTTTTTTTTCTTCGTTGTCCCCTGTTCTTCTTATGGATTCGTCGCGCATCAGCATATAAAATGGAGGCTGATATTTACTGCTATAACATTGGTTAAATAGACGAACAAATCGTTACAGAAGAAAACAAATATGATGAGTGATGAAAGATTTCCTTTTTCTATTTTTTCAGTCAGAAAGTAATGCCGCGTAGTCGAAGTCGAAGTCGTAGTCCTCGTGGTAAGTTTTATATTAAATCTATGTGTCTATCTCATTTTAATTTTCACTCTTCTATTACATGTAATCTAGATCGATATGGTAATAATCGATATCGTGGAGGTGGTGCGCCCAATGCTGGTAATAATCGTAAACGATATAGTCGATCACGGTCACCAAGAGATCGAGATCCACGTGGTAAGAATATCTTTATAACAAAATAACTAGATTTATTGATTCTTTTTAGCTGATCGAACCTATCGTGATCGTGATCGTCATCAACAAAAACCTGAACGTCCCAATAAACGTCACTCCCGATCACGTTCTCCATCACCAAAAGCATTCGGTAATAAAATAGTCGATAAACGTATGGAACCAACGCAACGAATTTTCGATCGTAAGCAAAATGAAATTATTATTATTATTTCCTATATTAGTTTCTGTTTATTTCAGCTGCTGAATTACAGGGTAAAACAGAAGATGAAATTGAAATGATGAAAACTATGGGCTTTGCGTCGTTTGATACAACTAAAGTAAAATATTCTTTTATATTTTTAAATCTCATTTATTTTTCAAATCTTTAGGGTAAACATACTGAAGGTCCAACAAATGCCTTTGGAACTAATATTCAACAGAAACGGCGTTATCGGTAAGAAGTTTTTTTTTTATTTCTATTGTTTATCATTTTTTCCTCTCTATTTTAGACAATATATGAATCGAAAAGGTGGTTTCAATCGCCCATTAGATCCAATAGCTTAATTTATGTATCTTAGCTTATACACATTTTTCGTTTTCTGTTCAGACTTGTATAATAAAAAAATATCTTTTTGTTTCGAAATAAAATGATATAACTGTCATCTGTCAGTTTTGTGTATAAATCTTATTAAAATATGCATATGTCTTTGTAGAAATGGATCGTCTATATGGAACACATAAGCCAACAAATTTAGTACAGAAAAGTATTTTAGCCGTTGGTTCAGGTGTTATGTCAATATTGGATCCATCACGCGATGATATGATATCCATATTTGGTGAAACAACAGGTGTTTTAGCTTTAAAATCTATGCAAGAAAAAATGATTGTTGATCCCGAAGGCGACGAGATTTTGAAGTAAATGAGTTGTTCCAATAACTTATTTTCTATTTATACCATGGTTGTTCTTGAAAATAGAAAACGACCTGTTATTAATACGAAAACAGTGGATCTGAATTTTTTAAAATCACTGCCTGCTGGTACTCTCGGAAAAGAATATTCAAATTTTTTAGCTAAATATGTAAGTTGCAAAAGATTTTTCTTTATAATTTTTAATATATCAATATTCTGCATTTTGAGAGAACTTGACACCTGATGCACGTCGTCCAGTTTCATTTATTGATGACGCCGAATTAGCTTATGTTATGCGTCGTTATCGTGAAATTCACGATTTAACTCATGTTACACTTGGCATGCCTATCAATATGCTAGGTAGAATCCGTCTTCGTTTATTTTATTTCAAAAACAAATTAATTTCATATTTTCAGGTGAAGTTACCGTTAAATGGTTTGAAGGTATACAATATGGTTTACCCATGTGTGCACTTGGTGGATTTTTTGGATCTGTTCGTCTTGGTCCGAGGCACACAGCTAAATATCTTAATTTAACATTACCATGGATAGTACGTACTGCTCGTCAATCAAGACTATTTATAAATGTTTATTTTGAAAAACATTGGCATAAACCATTAGTTGAATTTCGTCGAGAGCTTAACATAGTTGAACCTCCACCAAAACTTTGATATTACACGGGACATAATTGTTAATCCTATTAGTCTGTAATTTTCAAGGAAACGATTAAAATAATCTCTAATAAAAACACTTGTATTTTATGTTAACAAGTAGACGAACATTTTTTAATTTATCGATAAGTAGTATTTGATTGTAGACGTTGAGCAATGCGTAAATTTGTGCATTTATTTTTAATGAAGACAATCAAATCTATGAATGAGCATGTGTCGCCATTCAAGTGACATTAGTACTTGAATTCATTTGTTTATGTGACGTGTGGACAAAGTAACTAGACATTTTGAAACGATATCAAGCTTTTATCATACATTTGAACAGTTTTGATGTTCTACATTTCATATCATATCAATTGAATTTTTTTTTGTTATTTTTAGATAAATACTTAAATGTTTTTTCCTTCGTCTTCTCATGTTATCGATTGACCGATGATACATATCGTATGACACTTAACCTTTTCAGTGTCCAATCGATTTTTATGATTGGAAAATAAATGTACTACAAAATGTAGTTTGTCAAACTTAATATATTAGTTCAAATTTGATCAGAGACTTCGCGTGACCGCAATATTGCTATGATATAGTTAGTTCTTTTTATGATCGCTATTAGTGTGGATAATCTCTGTTTTGTTTTTCAAAATTTTAGTGGTGACAATATCTCATCTAGATGAATCTAAAACATTGAGTTTAACACTTTTTGATAGTCACGTTTGATTGTTGATAAAATGCGTAAAATTCTTTTCACACCATCCTAAAGATTCACTATCTGGCTATTATTTTATTGACATCATCGGCCAACAATCGTTTACTTTTCGATTTCGTATATCAAAACGAGCAAATTTAATGAAATTGCAATACGATTGTGTTTCATTGGTTTTAAAAAGAAAAAATACAAACAAGTTGTAATAGTACAAGAATGTTAAAATAATCATTCAAACAGTAAAAACTTGTAGACAACATATTTGGCCGATTTTAGAAACAAGTAGTGCATATCATCACTGAACTTATCTTGTTGTATTATATGGCATATTCAAATCTATTGGACGATGAAAGATAGTTATTCATTATTTGTTAATCATTACATCAATACTTATTCGATCATTGTTAATATGCTATTAAAAACTTCGAACCAACTGGAAATTTACTAATTACATTAACTATTTTGTATTTTTATCCTTTATTTATTCTTGTATATGTATATATACATATATATATATATATATATATGTCATACTGATTGTCCTTCCAGAAACAAAAAAAAGAAAAGAAAAAAGAACTTTTTCTACTAAGAGTAGATGATGATGATGTATTTTGCTTTCTTTGTTTCAGATTGGTTATGACAAACATCGTCGCCGATTTTTCTTCTTTCCATTGCTATGCTTTCAATCGATCACTTGCTTTGCTTCTTGCCTGCCGGTTCCTTATCTTAACGATACTGCCGTGTATTTGACACTCGTGTGCATGCTTGATGGCGAATGTCGCTTGTATATTCCCTATTTTTCTCTCTTTATGCATTTATCTCTCTCTATATATATCGAGAGAGATTTATGTAAATAATAGTTCCAAGAATCATCGCTTACCGTTCTCGATGATAAATCAGCGAACAAACTAGAAACTATGCATGCTTCGAATGTATGTGCATACGTAGTTTGTTCTCTATCAGTCAATCTGTTCGTAGAATGCAAAGTAGGTTGACTAAGTTATTAAATGGAGTATTTGACAATGTCATACATCCATTCAGTTGCTGTCTTCTATTTGATCTGCTCTAATGAACAGTTATTTATTGACTTTTGATATCATCAGCTGGTAGTATAAATGTCAAACAAGTAACTCTTCCCTCCCCTAAAAAAAGAAAAATTTTGTTTTGTGTTATATATGTATAGAACGATAATTCTCGTTTTAGATTAAATCGTCTGTTGTTATTTAACTTTTTATGTCGCAATCATTCCTTATGTTTTATAATTTTGTATGTACGCTTGCTCATGCGTCGTCCAAAAAGCGATGTAAACGGGTGGTGGTAGTAGTAGTAACAGCGGTAGGATAGTAGAGAAAAAATGGAGCTAAAGAAATGAATAGTGTGTGTGTGTGTGTGCGCTCTGTCGTCCTCGTCTACAATATGATCGCAGCATATCTCCATTGACATACACAAACATGCGCGAAAGGTTATTGTTTTCACATCTTTCTTCGACGACGACAACTACAGCCAATTCAAGAAAAAAAGTGGATGTATACATTTATATATATAAATGCATGTGTGCATTATCTTTCATCATACTGTTTATAAAAACTAAAGAGAACGATGGGTGACCATTATTGAATTCGTTAACGAATGAAAAAGTGTTACTATTGACCGGACTCGCACAAGTAAGCGGTCAATCAACAGACAATTACTCAGATCACTGTTGTTTTATTCAGACGAGAAAAAGAAGAAAAGAGAGAGAGAGAGAGAGAGAGAGAGAAATAAAGAGAGACGATTTCAGATTCAGCTCGACAAATCATCAACGACAGCAGCATCTTCCTCTCTCTCCCTCTCTCGTTTGCTTCACAATAGTAGGGTGTGCCGATGCTCTTTTTTCTCTTTTTCTTACTCTATCTGCCTGTCTGATTATTGTTGTGTGTTACTACACGAAAGATGTGGTGTGTCTCTCCATAAAAGATATAAATCTGCTTTATAAGAGAAACAAAGCAGACAATGACGATGTATGTACATGTAAACGCGTGTCGATGAGAGAGAGAGAGAGAGAGAGAGAGAGAGAGAGAGAGAGAGAAAAAGAGAGGCATCCGAAAAAGAAGGTACGATGACGCAAAAGTAACGAACGGTTTTGTTTAAAAGCGAAAACCTAAAATTCAGAGCAGCTACACAAATGAAAAAGAGGGAAAGAGAGAGAGAGAGCAAAAAAGTTATGTGCTCGATTTTTCTTTGTGTATATGTGTGCTGTCATTGATTCTCTTCTTCTTCTTCTTCTTCTTCTTCTTCTTCTTCTACTTCTTCACTGCCGTGGTACGACTATACACCGGCATGGCACAAACGGTATGTACACGGAAAATTACTATTATTGCTCGTGACTTGTATACTGATGATGTTATGCGTACTTTGATTGCCAAGTAATGAAAATAAGTAAAAAGTAAAAGAAAAGAGAATTTCATCGAGTACTTTATTGATGTTCGACAAGCCACGTGTACTTATATAAATATACGTGTACGTTTAACAAAAGTAAAAAAAACTATGGAGTGAAAAACGTAGAAGTAATCGAGATATATATATATATATATGTATACAATAGATTTGCTGCTTGTTCGTCAATTTGTCTGCTTCATTCACATACATACGAGTACAGTGCGCACATACGCACGTCAACATCAAAACGCAAATAGATGGAAAAAAAATATATAGAAACATTCGTTTACCCTCTCTCATTTCTCAATATTTTGTCTGCTTTTTTACATTCATTCATTCTTTGTCTTACTCTTGCGATTAGAAGTCACTACTTCTACTATTACTATGACTAACCAACATGATCATTATCATCAGTTTGACAAGCGGCGAACGAGACTAGCGTGCCAGCGCGTTTTGTTTCGCAAGAAAGGGGGAATTGCCCTTCTTGACGTTGTCGTCGTCTCTTCTGCTATTGAGCATTTTACTTGTTCTTGTCTCTGTTGTGTGTGTATGGCGGGCAGATACTGTTTCCGGTTAATTGCGGCGGTCGTCGTCGATTTTTTCCTTCTTCTTTTCACGCACACTCACACATGCCGCTCATTTTCTTTTCCCCTTATTTTATTGCCAAAAAAAGAAGAACAACGAGAAATATTTTTATTCTTTGTATATATAATATATACGTATTAAGTTTAATTATTTCTATATTTTTTCTCTACATCTTATAGCATAGCTCATCTTTTTCTCTTTTTTTTACTTCAATCTTACTTGTTGCATACCTTTGCTTCTAATAAAAACGTTTTTCTATTTCCTTTCTTTTTCTCGTTTTTTTTTCATACACGCAAACTAACTCAAGTCTCCCTCAAATGTCATCACATTTATAAGAAAGAAACTTTAGTGAGGGATTCTAGAAGAAAATCAACACACACTCAGGCAACAAAATCAAATTAAGAGACGTACACAGTTTATATGCATGTATAGAGAAAAAAAAGTGTCAATAATGGATGTTGAACGTCGACGAACATACAACGACGTCAAGCGGGCACAACCTTGCATGAGTGTTCGTTTTTTTCTTCTCTCTTTATCCTTCTCATGCCACTATTAACTGACCGATGAGAGAGAGAGAGAGAGAGAGAGACAGGGCGAATAATGTATATGCTGGTTTATTTCTAGATGTGATGTTCACACGACGAATGCTCTATGCAGCAAAAAAAAACGAAGAAAGATTCATCTTTCATTCCCGGTGGTCGTGTGTATTGTATGTGCACGTCTTGTTCATTCATTAATCAGCAATAACAACGACCATGAGTAACAATAATAAAGAAACTATGACAAAAAAACAACAAGATGACCTTACTTCAACGTTTAATAGTAAAAAAAACTTTTTAATTAAAAATTCTTCTTTTTCATTGTCTATTGATATATTTTATTGTTTAGATCTTCCCTGGGGACTCCCATTGGGTTTTCCATCATTATCACCATTTGGCGCATTTCCAGCATTTGGTTTAAATGCACCAAATTTCCCTGCAATGAACAGTTTTGGATCGTCACCAACAGCAAGTCCCTTTCCTCCTTCACTTTTATCGAATGATTCTAATAATCAAACATCATCAACTGATCTTTGGTCAAATGGTTTATCGGCTGCTAATAATTCTATTGATTATAATGAATATGCTAAACAATTAGGTTTTCTTATGAATGCATTTACTGAGCAGCAGCAGCAACAACAGCAACAACAAGAAACAGATAAACCAAAATGTAAAGAAATTCTATTTTTCTAAAGAAAAATATCGTTTCGAATTTTTTAGCTTCACCGACAACAAAACATTCAAAACATAAATCGTCTCATACCTCTTCACCTGATGTTATTAATGGTAAAAAACATGATGATTCACGTCGTTCATCATCGTCAACTAAATCCTCATCACGTTCGAAATCCTCATCATTAAATCCTACGTCAAATCTATCATCTTCGACTAAAACATCTACAACAAACGATCCAAATATGCTTGATCCAATGGCATTTGCTGCGGCCGCTGCAGCAGCAGCAAGTGGCGGTTTAACATTTCCTTATTTTCTTCCATCATTACTTTCGCAAACACCTTCAACAACAACTACAAATAATAATCCTTCGCCCTATCCATTTTCTAGTTTAACAAATCCTACTGCTGGACTTTATCCATTTTTATCACCTGATTGGTTTACATCGGCCTCAGCATCATCTATGGGAAATATAACTCCTGGTAAATAGAACAAACGCTTTTTTTTTGTTTTTCAATATTTATGTTCGTGTTGTTTTTCTTTTCTCAAAAAGATTTGAACAAATCTAAAAAACGTTCGAAATCGATTCGAACATTAACTGAAGAACAAGATAAAAATTCTTCGAGTCTTCTTCATTTAGCATTGGTAAATTTCACTAGTTTTCTATTTTATTTGAAAATAAACAAAGTTCTGTTTGCTAACTTAGACTGATCCAACAAATACAAATGGTTCGCGTATGAGTCGTCGAAATAGCACAAATGAAACACACGTTGATGATTCAAGATCCAATGATGATGGTAGATTAACAAATAGAAAATTTTCGATTCACATAAAAATCTCTATTTCTAGACGATTCAGATCCAAATCCAAAACGTAAAAAACCTGATGAAGTTAATGAAACGCTTGTACGAATACCATTAAGTCGCGGGTAAGTCAATCTCTCTGAATTTTGTTTTGGTATAGAATGATTTGTTCTCCTAGATGGAAACGAGTAACAATTATTCGAGCAATAACTCGCACTGGTGTACGCGGTGATGTTTCATATTATGCACCGTGTGGAAGAAAACTACGTTCGTTTCAAGAAATTGATCGAGTAAGCAGAAACGTTTTTCTATACATCGTTTTCAAATTTTCTTCTTTTGTTTAGTATCTATCGAAAAAGAATATCAATGATTTAGATCGATCACATTTTACATTTAGTTCAAAAGTTCATATTGGATATTTTCATGAACCAAAAGAAGGTCCCGATGGAAAAGTTAGTATTGTTTGAAATGATCAGTTCAGTTTTTTTTTCTATTTCCTGAAATAAGTCGACTTCTTCTATTGAAGAAAATGAACATATTTCAAGGCGTAGAAAAATTAATATTGAATATGTTATACATTTTGCTATTTTTCTCGTTAGACTTTATTTCATGAATCAACTGAAGATGAAATTGTTAATCGTATATTGGAAATAAATCCTAAATTTCGTCGTATTGAAACAAGTTCAAGTCCTGGTTCAACACCGAGCAATGGTAACCATGATCATCATGATGATCATCGAAAGCTTCGGTTAGAACAAGAAGGTACGCTAGATTTGGTTATCTATTAATATTAATAATGAGTGTTTTGTTCAACAATAGAAATATCTAAACGAGCAGCTGAAATAAAAACGAAACGTGAAACTATGCGTTTAACACATAACGAAAATTCGGAAGCACAATATCAACACAATGATTTTATCAAAGCTATTATGGAACAACAAAAATTAGTTCACCAACAAGAACATGAACATAAACAAAAATTACTACAAGAACAACAAGTACGTCATATAAATACTCAATATTCATCTATATTTGTACTTAGATTTTTATAATAGCAGTTAAAAAGTAGATTGAAGTTGATCATTTACCATTTATATTAGTATGGATTATTGAAGTGTAAAATTAAGAAATAAATGACTCGAGAACATCAAAACTATTTTATATAATGGTTTTCTATTTAGAGATACCATTAACATTATTATCGTATGAGTAATTGGTTTAAATTATGACTGAGATTGAGTGGTAAAATACCCTGAGATTAATGAAAATTGAGTATTCATTTGTTAATAACCGGATCTTGTCATGTGTAATGCCGGTTGTTTTTTATTCGAGATTATTCTATTCTCATAAAATAGAGGTCAACAGATTGTAAAGGGTTCATCTTAATTGTCGCTTGTCAATTTTCTACCCTCTTCTATACATAGGTGTTGACAATGAATAATAATTTGTTTTAGGAACAAGAACGTAAACGTCAAGAACTTGCCTATTTAAAACAACTTGAATTAAAGAAACGTCATGAAGAAAAACTTCAATTACTCGAACAACGTAAAGCAGAAAAGAATGCTGAACGTGAAAAAAAGATTGTATGTTTTATTATTCAAATAACTATCGAATATAATTGAGGTTTTTTGTTTATAGCAAGAAAAATATATGGAAATAGTTCTTGCAAAAGAAATGAAACGAATTACTGAAGACATGCAATTAAAAGATCTCAAAGTAAGATATTAAATATTTAAGACGACCCTATCGTTCTTTTCGCATGGATGAAGAAAGCTTGTTGAGTTATCTGAAAAATAGGATAGAAAAAATATTGAAGGTATTTTGTATGCTTGATATAACCGTTTCAAATGGTTTGTTACCATTGATTACGCGTAGTGTTATCATCGTACTCATCTTCTGAGATATAATTTTCATGATAATCGGCATTTTACTTAGAAGAATTATGGTGATATTATTAGATTGGAAATCAATAGACAAACCTACCGTTGATTAAGAGAGTCAATACTTGAGACAAACAAAAAGAGCTTTCCTATAAATGACGATCTTTAGACTTTCCTAATTATGCGAATGATATCAACTCTATTTCATTATGTTACAAGAGAGAGAGAGAGAGAGAGATTGTTTCCGAACATCTAATGAATAATTCATTATTTTATTCTAGCCACTTCCAACACTAAAACCAGTTGAAAATATGCGTTTATCAATTGAAGCATTTGCCAATTGTTTAATGATTATTGAATTTCTCAATAATTTTAAACATATTCTAAATATTCGTATGTTAACTTTTTATAATCAAACAAAAAGTTTAGTATTTTGCTGTTTTAGCCGATAATTTAATTCCAACATTAAATACTTTACAACAATCTTTATTGAATACTTCATCATCAAGAGATTTGAATTCTCTTTGTCAATTATTACTTCGTATTGCATTAGAGGATCCTGGCATTCCAAATCCTAAAAAAGCTTTAACTAATCTTGGACAAAAATTATCTGAAATCGATATAACTGAACATACATTTAGTGAAATTTTACGTATTTATATCCGAGAACGAAATGGTTTTGATGATAAATTAAGTCAAATTTTATCAGATGTATCATTTCAAGTATTGATACCGGATGAGAAAGCCGAAGTATTAGCTTTTCTATGCAATGATTTATCGACCAATAAACGTGTCGTTGAGTAAGAAAGAATTTTCTATATTGTATTTGAGATTTGAATTATTTTTATTTTTATTTTCATTGTTTTAGTGAAATTGATCGTAATCTTGAAGAATTAATCGGTTTAAAACATGAAAAACTAGAAATTGAAAAACGCTTACGTCGGTTAAAATTTGAAAAATATAATAATGCAAATAGTAATTCAAATGTTAAAAAAATGGCAACATTATTAAGAGAAAAAGATTTGAACAGTTCAGATAATGAAAGCCCAGATGATAGCGATGGTGGTACGTAAAAATGTTCTTTCAACGTCACATTTGTTTTGCTTCTATTGCAAAGCGAATTTTTTTTTATATAGAATCTATGAAAAATGATGAAGATACCTCAATAGCAAATGATCCAGCAACGATAACAGCGGATGATCAAGATATTGAGACGCTTGACGAAACAAAAATTGACGATATCGATAAACGTTTAGCACTTGTTACACGAAAATATACTCTTAGTAAACGTCGTGTTATTGATAAACAATGTCGTGTACGTGCGCTTCATCTTGGACAAGATCGTTATCGTCGTCGTTATTGGTATTTTTCACATTTACCAGGCATTTATGTTGAAGGTTTAACATCAGGTGATATATCATCAGATGATATACAAAATATTATTGACAATGTCACTAAACAAAAACTTGATATTAAATCAACGGCTAACAATGAATGTAATTCATCGGCATCACGTTCAACACAACGTAAAAAACAACAAGCGAGAGTAGCCAATGTAACATCACCACCACCGGCAACCCCATCATCAACAGGAAATTCGACAAGTGAACAAATCAGCATTATTGAACCAGCTAAAATCAAAAGTGAAAATAGTGATAACGAAGATGAACAAGCACAAACAAATACAACAAATAATCTTACAGAAGATCTTGCAACTATGGATCTATCGGCCTTTTGTATGGCAGCTCAAAGAGATAATGATGAACAGCACTCTGATTCAGTTAAAGAAGAAAAGCCTTTTACGAATGGGTAAATATCCTGTCTCTCCGTACTACCCAGTCTAGAATTCAACTCAATTAATTTAATTAGGCATGAGTTCAACTCGATCGATCGATAGGCAACAGTAACATTTTATAAATATATATATCCGATTTTTATTTTACAAATTAATTAGTATGAATTTGAAGTGACAGACTTTGAGTTTCTATAATGAGAATAAAAATTTCTACGAGAAACGACGTTTTACTATATACAGCTTCACCACCTATCAATCTATCGAAGATGAAGAGTCTCGTACTCTATGTATGGTATGCGTATTTATACTCTCATAAGCCATAGCAATGTCTGCCATGTGGACACCACATGTTCAATCATTGACATGTGAAACTCGCACAGATAATTGCTCGATAGATTATCATAGAATGCACATACAAAAGAGAATAACATGAATAACCATATGTTGAGAGCTATTATAAAATTTATCTTATCTGATTTTTAGAACTTCGAAAGATGTCGAAATCAAACATGAACCAGGTGATGAAGTCAATTGTAAATGCGAAGCTGATGAAGTAACCGATGATAATCTTCCGCTTGATCTTTCATGTTCAAAATCGAAACGCCCATGTCAAGATGATTATTGGGCATCACAACATACACAAGCTGCATATCCATTGACATCTAATCTTGATCAATTTCAAGAATTGAATGATCTTGCAACTACTGCTATGCTAATAAATAGTATAAAACAAGAACAAGCTAATTCAAATGCATCTAAAAATATTCATGGTTTAACCAATGTTAATTTTCAAAATATGATGTCAAATCAGTTTATGTCTTCATTTAATTTATCAACGTCAATCAAACAAGATCCATCAATGGCTAATTTTAGACAAATTGAACAATCGATTAGAGAGAAATTTCAATATTCACAACCATTGCCCATTCCTGATGGTAAATGTTCATGAGATAAAATTTTCAACATTTATTAAGAGTTCAAGAGTGTGTTAGGCTAAGGCTCGTTTAATGTTTTATCAGTTACTGTTTCAAAGAGATAGATTGCTATCAGATCTGATCGACATTCTTTGATTCTAGTTGAGATAATTATAAATGTTCGACACTTCATGGATAGGAAACACTTTTAAGCCCATGACATTGACACTTGACTTTCGAAGTACATAGTTGTTGTTGTTGTATATCAAACTTGATGGCAACACCTCTACAAATTTACGTCTGCATTTAAAATTTGCTCCCAAAAAGGAAAACTTAGATAAAGCAATAAAAGAAAATATTTTTTGTACGATATTGGAAAATTAAATTCGAATAATAGTCTTATAAATTTGAATTTTTAACTCTTGTTTATTTAGATGTTCAATCTGGTTGGTGGTTAATTCAAACATCTGAAGAATTACGTTCGCTTGTTAAATCTTTAGCTAAACGTGGTCAACGTGAACGATATTTATGTCGAATGCTTCAACGTTATTTTGAAGTTGTAACACATTCAATGGCCGATATGAAAACTGATAATACTGTATCATCGAACGAAACGGAAACTGAAAATGAGAATGATGAACAATCACAACTACAACAATCATTAAACGATTTGATTGAAAATGATAATCAAACTTATGATGATACACATGAAATGGATGTATTGAATGAAATCTATAATTTATCTGATCGTATTATAGCATCAAGTCTACAATGTCGTTCGTATGATGTTACTTTAATTCGTAAGCGTTTAACATATTCAGATATACAAGCTAAAGGTTCCGATGTCCTTGATGAAGCTAAACATTTATTAACTGATATTGAACGTAATGTTGAACGGCGATATTTGAAACATCCGTTCGTTCGTAAATATGAACTTAATTTATCATCATTAAATCGTATTAATCAAAATAGTACCTATCATCATACATTGGAAAATTCATCCAATGAAATGGTATCATCATCGAAATTCGATGAAGTACCACAACAACTTGAACGTTGGAGACGAACTGTTAATGAATCACGTACACCGGCACAATTAGCTTTGTGTTTAACACAATTAGAACGTTGTATTGCATGGGAAAGATCTATTATGAGAGTTTATTGTGAAATATGTAATTCCGATATCGATGAAGAAAAATTATTATTATGTGATGGATGTGATCGTGGTACACATACATATTGTTTTATACCACCTATGTCATTTATACCACCAAATGATTGGTATGAACTCGATATACACTTAGTTTTATTTTATTTTAAATTATTTTTATTTAGGTATTGCTATGTTTGTATTGGTAAAGCAAAAGGTGAAAATTTGTGTTTCGTTTGTGGTAATAAAGGTGATAATCAATTGAATAAATGTGAACATTGCGGAAAATTATTTCATGACGAATGCCTGAAAAATGCAAAACAACAACGTGGAAAATGGCTATGTGTCTTGTGTGCGGCCAATGATAGTAGTACTTTAATAGCAACATTAACTAGCGGAAATAGTAATACGAAATGGGTAAGTTAGATTTTATTTACAAACTGAAATTCAAATGATCCATAGTTGAATTGATTAATATTTGAACTTGATTAAAAGAGAATGTAGATGTGAATTCTACTATTCCGCAGCGGTTGACAATATTCAGCGATCTAACGAGAAGAATTGCGGAGTTTCACTCGATAAACACATCATACTGTATCAATCTGATGCACACGTCAAAATCAAAACTACGTCATTTTCATGATCTTTTTTTGGAGTAATTTTAAATAGCTTTATTTTCACACGAGAGAATATTTTAAAAATATAAAGAGAAGCTGCATATAAACTTCTATTAGAGATAGAAAACGTCTTTGTGAGCTAAGCGAAAAATATGTTTGAGAAGTGCGCCTTTATCAATGAAGAAAATGTCTAACATTTCAACCTTTTTTCATACTTTCCGATTTCTTATTATTGATGTTTTTTCTTCTTCAAGCAAATGGGCCGTCAAACATCTCGATCTACAAATACATCAGCGAATGCAACCAATAATTCAACATCAAAATCTCGGCAACCATCAATTAGTTCCACTAGTTCCGTCACTAATACAAATGGCGAAGCAAATAATAATTCTACTCCATCTAATCGTAATCGTCCGACTAATAATCGCAAATCGAAACCTCGTAATAGCTTAAACAATACGGAAATTTCAATTTTACAAGAATCTCATTCGAATTCATCTCATACCGATGCAATTACAATAAGTAGTCTTAATGAATCATCCTCAATTCAATCGCCATCGAATGTTGCTGATATAGATGATGATATTCCATCGCCTCTTGTTGGTGGTACAACGAATTCGACAAATAATACAAAGAAAAAAACGTCTCGTAAATCAAAATCAAATACAGATACTGAAGATGTAAAAGCTTGCAGGTAAAAATTATACTCTTGAAAAACTCCTACGATACTTTTAGTTTTCAATATGTTACACACAAAGTTTGGACAGGATAACTAAGATACGGACTTCAGATTCAATTTTCTTGCGTAAAAAAACTTCACGAAAAAAGAATATTTTTATTGATGCAGGTATTATTATCAACGATAGATGGTGATTTTAGTCGATGGAGTTTATCCTAATTTCGAGATATTCTTCAAGTCAAGTTAAAGATTCTATTAATTTTAATTTTGCATGTTTTCGACTGAGGTATAGTTTTGAAATACAACGATGATCACTCCTCGCATTAAATTTACCACTGGTTACCATGGCCTTTATCCGCCTAAGTCATGCTGATCCTTTTATGAGAGTTATAGCTACTATTCACTTTTACAGAAGATATCGAGTTATGTTCTAAGAATGTTAATACGAAGTCAAAATTTTCATCCTAATCCTTTTAGAATTCTTGAAAATTATGTTTCAAAAAAATAATTTTGTCGAATTAAATTTTCTTTTTCTTAGAATTATTTTGAATGAACTATTAAAAAATGATGCCGCATGGCCATTTCAAACACCCGTTGATGCTAAACAACATCCGGAATATTATGAATGTATAAAAAGTCCAATGGATTTGGCTACAATGAAGAAGAAGATGCGTAATCATCAATATACAAAACGTGATGAATTTTTTAATGATGTACAATTAATATTAAATAATTGTGAATACTATAATGAAGATGATAGTCCAGTTGGTGAAGCTGGTCATGTTTTACGAACATTTTTTGAAACACAATGGGCTAAACAATTTGGTTAAATTCTTTTTTTTGTTTCTCCTTTCCCCACTGCTTATGTGCCATTGTACATACGACAAATTGTTTTGTTGAATCTCTTTCTTTGGCCAGAATGAAAAAAATAATTCAAAAAAAAAAATAATAAAGGATTCTTGTATTGTGTCTATGTCTCAGATAAAACTAGTTTATGCGTTTTTCTTTTTTTTTCTTCGCGCGGTCAAGTAAAACCAATCAATGATGATGTTTCTTTTTTTTTCTTCTCTCATTTATTGTTGTTTTTTTTCTTTTGTCACTACACAGTATTTTGTTGTATATCATCATCTATCTTGTCAGATCGTCAATGTTTTGTTCGTCTGTGTGTCTAGTTGAACAAAAAAAATCATAATAACTGTGTGGTGGACAAATGACGAAATGAAATATGAATCATTTATTTATAATTGGAAATGCAATTTTGTTCGTACTTTTAAAATCGAATTGAAATTCAATAGTTTTATTTCAATCAATATTAATTGCGAATGTGTGATAAGAAAAGGGACATACTCTGAATAGAATACAACAATAGACGAAGAATAAAGGAATTATTCTATTGATATGCACAATAAGTGTACGTATTATGTTTGTAGTTTGATTTGTTCTCGTACAAGTGTACTTGCTCATATACTTGAGTATGAATAAGTACTTAGTACTTGTACATGAAGTAGACGTCGAATGAATCTCATCAGTAGGATTAATTCGTTTGAATATGTTTTCAATCAATCGAGAAGTAAATAGCAATAGCAATCTTTTATCAAGTTCTGTTTCTGAACTACAATACAGTTCTGACTTAAAAGCAAATAATCAGTTGAGAAAATTTTCTCTGACATGCAATTATAAATTACAAATATCTTCTAAATTTACTTGAAAAATTACATGAAATTCAACTAACGAGAGAACATTCCCAAGTGATTCGCACCATTTGGGTTTATGTTGTGATCATAAGTAGGACGCAGCGAGACTAGAAAAGACCTAAAATATTTCGTGCCATTAGGCCTCATCGATGTTAAAAGGCTCCAAAAGTTTCAGTGAAAACGAATGCGCCTTTCTCGAGATACTGCATATTGAAGAAAAATCAATTTTAAGATAATTTTTGAAAAATCACCATTTTCATGAATATGCAATATTTCGAGAAAGGCGTATTCGTTTTCACTGAAACTTTTGGAACATTCTAACATCGATGAGGCCTATTGTTAGGGAAATTTTCAGCTCGAAATCCCTTCATTCAGTTTTTCTATAAATTCCTTGCCCATCGTAGAAAATTCATTAAAACGGTCATAACTTTGAAAGAAAGGCCTAATGGCACGAAATCTTTTAGGCCTTTTCTAGTCTCGCTGGGTCCTACTTATGAGCACAATATGAATCCAAATGGTGCGAATCATTTGGGAATGTTCCCTGGTAAAATTTATTAGAACGACTAAAAGCCGCTTGATTTATCTATTGATAGAATAACGATTCAAAATTAAATGAAAATGGTTCTTTACTGATCTCGATTTTGAACTTTGTTGCCATGGTGTTCCTGGCACTTGGTCATTGTAACTATATCATTTCATTCGACAGTTAAATAAAATTTGCAATTTATATAGTACTGTCTGATTAAATACAATAAATTTCATTGTGAAATTACTTCATATCGGATTTCTTCAAATCGAATGTTTTAAGATTAAATCAAACTATGTTCAACAGCGATGAGTCTCATTTGTTTTAGTCTCGAAATATACTTTTTATTGTATGAACTCACAAGGTGACTGACCACTTCATATTCAATCAATTAATATTTAATTGGAGATTTTTCTTTTAAACTGATTCCTATTAAAAACCGAATCTGAATCAAATTGAATATTACCTTTCTCGAATTCGTCCCATTTTTTAAAACACATTCCTTTTATAACGAGTTCTTTCTTCGTTGTATAGTGACGTAGTTGCATGAAATTTTGATTGATTTACATCAATGATGATTGCTAACAAGTGACAACAGTTATTTCTCCTACATTCAATTAATTTTTTTTACTATACTAGACTTTATTTTACATGATAATTATCTTGAGGTTGAAGGAATATCACTGATAAGTGCAATCTGAAAAAAAGTCTTCTCCTAAATCATTTTATTACATCATTTTTTGTGTAAGTCGATTCAACGACGACAGTTAGTACTGTAAGACACTGCTCTCAATGATTGCCATGATTTCAATGATGATTTTGGAAATTCTACAAGTTTTAGTCTTTCTGGAATGAATAATCATTTATTAGTAAGAGAAAAATTGTTTGAATGTTAGATAATATTAGTATTAATTGAATATTTACTCTTAGAAAAAATAGAATTTCATCTTGATTTGAAACCAATTTCTTCTAACTATAGAATCAACGTCAGTAGATACACGTCTTTTCCAATATAAAACAAGCGTGTTATTATTTTGCATTCTCATATAATATTGTACATCAGAGTCTCATGACTTCATCAAGCAAATCGCCTATTGATTCCTTGGAAAAATAATTAATATTTTCAATGTTGATTTTTATTTCAAAACATTTCATGTAATAATCATGGGGAAAAAACTTTGAGAAATTATTTTGCTCTCCTACATGTCAATTCAACATTTCATAGTTAAAAGCAGATCATAACAGCATCAAAGGCATAATTTCAGATTTTTTAAAAATATGTTCATCGATTCACCGTCACACGAAACAATCCCGCATGTCACTGATCGTTATTTTCAATGTGTTATAATACAATTAATATTTTTTCGCTCAACTTCAATCAATCGAAATATTTGTGCTTGATCTCTATCTATTGTATATGAACATAGATATGATGAAGTCTGCTTAATATAATGAATTCCTGTTGATAAAAGTGTTTCTAAGATAAATGTCGAATCTGTCTGTATACATTTTGTTTTGTTATCTTTTTGAATTATATTCAAATAGCGATTCACTTGTTCCATTTCATATTTCATTCGAAGAAATTTTGCATCTGATAAATAAAATTCTTGCGTATCACCATCAATTAGAATAATAAACTGTTCGGATTTTAAACATCGATGCCGACGCGGTGTACCATTGTTTGTTAAAATAAAAAGCGAAACTATCATTTGACGAATTTCCTATGCGAATATTACGATCAATCATCATTACAGGAAGATTTGTATCAGCCGTTACTATCCGCACATATGTAAGAGTACCTGATGGCTTTTCAGGCCATTGGTGTTCGTTTAAATTAAAAAAGCCGAACACTGGATAATGATCGGAAAGTTCCATTAATGGAATATTACGTGTATTGTAAAACATTTGATTAGCACCGAGTAAATGCCATTGTTCTGGTGCCATAGCATCGATGATAAAGTTAAACCAGACAGAATTATTCAACGTGTGATCTTTATGTATGAGANACATATGTAAGAGTACCTGATGGCTTTTCAGGCCATTGGTGTTCGTTTAAATTAAAAAAGCCGAACACTGGATAATGATCGGAAAGTTCCATTAATGGAATATTACGTGTATTGTAAAACATTTGATTAGCACCGAGTAAATGCCATTGTTCTGGTGCCATAGCATCGATGATAAAGTTAAACCAGACAGAATTATTCAACGTGTGATCTTTATGTATGAGAATGTAATCTAATAATTGATTTTGCTTATGGTTTGCCATAGTCATTGAATTGAATGAACTATCCCAAGTGCATGGAATACTTGATGGATATAATATATGTTCTTCTACATTGAGTAGGCCAATCATTTTTTTTATGTTGTCCAGTATTATATTTATCAATATTAAAATCACCAAGAAAAAAATAGAAATTCACTTCTTGATATGTTTCTTGCATCAATAAAATCTGTTATTTCATTCATTTATTTTTCACGAATTCGTTCTTCACTGGATAGGAAACAACCACGATGATCGCTTGGTTGTAAATGTGTAGCAATTGTATGAATTGGAATTTCACTTTTACCATGTAGTATTCGTGCGTAAATAAAACCACTTCGAACGAAAGTATGCCCACGACATGCACGTGGAAAAAAAATATTGTGCCGTATAGGTAATTGACCATCAGTTTTAGATAGAATCAGAAGAGAAAGTAGCAGAGATTGTTTCATGTTTGAAAATGAGATTTGAAACAAAAACACAATATTCTTTACTCTTATCATTTAACATTTACAATTCAATTCGTTCTGTATCTATTGAATAGCGACATCGACCGTTGTTTGACTTTTGTTTTTCACATTGCATCTTTCTCTAATAATGATGGACAATCAAAAAGAAATATTACTTTATTCATCACTATTGTGATTCATTGTTGTTTAGCAGTTTGGGATGTAGAACTAAAAAGAAATATCGTCAATTTGATCTTGATATTGAATTCGAGTAAAGATTGATGTTCAGTTGTAGTTTTTGCTTGATTTGAAGATTGTGCGCATGTCTGACTGGAATTAGTTATCGGGGAAATATCTGTCTGAAAAGCATCATTCATGGCACTTGTTTTTATATCCATGAAGATGGTAGTTTGTAAAATGAATATTCTATTGATTATATAAAAATATTATACACTATTTAGAACTGATTACGATGTTTTCCTGAATTTTGATTTCAACAAAACGATGACTCTGTGTAAAGGATGATAAAATGAAACAAAATTCTGCTGTGTTATCGGAATTCCTATCAAAATCTGGTGTTGACGAACAGAATTTTTATATTGTGCAGGTGAGAATTCTGTCGCTCCCCATTTTTACTAATTTAAATGAATCAAAATCGAATAAAACTAAGTAAAATACTGCGCTATGCAACATGAGCAACTCTGCTAAAGCTAATTTTTTACTGAACAAATACTACTCAGCATGTACGTTAATAAAAAAAAGCATAGTAAACATCCATCATATAAAAACAAAACGAAGCAGAAAAAGAACATAGAAGCTTTTCATTATCATTATTTGAAAAACAAAGGGTTGATTTGCTCTTGGGTACACGTAATTGCAGTGTAAATTTCTCGATTTGCGGTCAACTACAAGAATAGCGAAGAAATAATGTCACACTTTTAAAGTATGCTCATTCGCCAATACGGTCATATGCATCAATCGTGCAGATGTCTCCTCATTTAGTTTCATGTGTAATAATACAATTAATATTTTTTCGCTCAACTTCAATCAATCGAAATAGTTGAGCGTGATCTTCGTTCTTCGTACATGAACATAGATGTGACGAGTCATGATTGATATAATGGATTCCTGTTGATAAAAGTGTTTGTAAAATAAATGTCGAATCAGTTTTTATACATTTTGTTTTGTTATCTTTTTGAATTATTTTCAAATAGCGATTCACTTGTTCCATTTCATATTTCATTCGAAGAAATTTTGCATCTGATAAATAAAATTCTTGCGTATCACCATCAATTAGAATAATAAACTGCTCGGACTTTAAACATCGATGTCGACGCGGTGTACCGTTGTTTGTTAAAATAAAAAGCGAACCTGTATCATTTGACGAATTTCCTATGCGAATATTACGATCAACCATCATTACAGGAAGATTTGTATCAGCCGTTACTATCCGTACATATGTAAGAGTACCTGATGGCTTTTCAGGCCATTGGTGTTCGTTTAAATTAAAAAAGCCGAACACTGGATAATGATCGGAAAGTTCCATTAATGGAATATTACGTGTATTGTAAAACATTTGATTAGCACCGAGTAAATGCCATTGTTCTGGTGCCATAGCATCGATGATAAAGTTAAACCAGACAGAATTATTCAACGTGTGATCTTTATGTATGAGAATGTAATCTAATAATTGATTTTGCTTATGGTTTGCCATAGTCATTGAATTGAATGAACTATCCCAAGTGCATGGAATACTTGATGGATATAATATATGTTCTTCTACATTGAGTAGGCCAATCATTTTTTTATGTTGTCCAGTATTATATTTATCAATATTGAAATCACCAAAAAAAAATAGAAGTTCATCTTCCGGTATATTTCTTGCATTAATAAAGGCTGTTATTTCATTCATTTGTTTTTCACGAGTTTCTTCCTCGCTTAGTAGATAACAACCAGGATGACCACTTGGCTGCAAATGTACTCCAATAACATGAATTGGTGTTTCATTTTTACCGTAAAGAATTCGAGCATAAATAAAACCACTTAAAGAAAATGTATGCGCACCACAGGAATATTTATGAAAGTATTGTATTTTATAAGTAATTGGCCATTTGCTAAGTATTGTTAAGCCGCCATTAACAAATTTCAATAGACTTCGGCCTAGGTCACTATTCCAAGTTTCATCCCAATAATCTTGCCCGTCTTGATCACCTAATATCGGTGTCATATATGGGTAGGTGTCTGCAAGAGAATCAAGTAAAATTTTAGTTGGTTCTGGTTGGAATACTTCTTGTAAACAAATGATATCACTTATGCGAAGAAATTTTGCTTTTGCCAATAAATTCGCTCGAGTGGTTTGATCACGTTCTAAAACGAGCAATTTTGGTACGAACATGACATTGTACGTCATTAATATTATTTGACTCTGTTCATGATCAGCATCATCAGTTTTACATAGAATCAGAAGAGTAAGTAGCAGAAATTGTTTCATGTTTGAAAATGAGATTTGAAACAAAAACACAATATTCTTTACTCTTATCATTTAACATTTACAATTCAATTCGTTCTGTACCTGTTGAATAGCGACATCGGCCTTTGTTTGACTTTTGTTTGTCTTTTCACATTTTACCTTTCGAAAAATGATGGACAAAAAGAAATATTGTTTTTTATTCATCACTATTGTAGCTCTTTTCTTTCCAATATAAATGGATGGTTTAGAGAAAAAAACACTTAATGTACTTCATCAATCCCATAATAAAGTAATTGAAGATCTACATACATGGCATAAGAATATTGTAAGTCAGCTTGATCAAATGTATGATAATATTCTTCTCGATATGAAAAATACATATGAGGATGTTCAATATTTTGCTTCATTTACAAGTAAACTCTTACTTGAACAAGAAAATCTACTTCAGCAAGCAACATCTAACGACGAAATCAATACTATTCAAGAACGAATCAATGAAATTTTAACAGAAATCACATTTTTGCAGTGTAAATAAAAATAAAGACTTAAAAGGTATTTTACAATACAAATTCCTTTTTCTCTCTCTATTTGTTTAGCATTATCATTTCATTTGAATTGTGATTCAGTCAAACTTCATGGTAAACTTCAATTAAATTTAAACAAAATTCCAATAAAATCAAATCATTCATTGATGGCAACACTGCCTTGTATTGATAATGCATCTCAAACAATAATTCATTCATCTAAACTGCCAACACGGAATAAACAATCAATTTTGTTATCAACTACATATCGTTTTCTGATTTCACGCATTGATGCTATTGAATTAAAAAAAACTTCACTTTCGATTTTTCATTTAACTTCTTCTGACAATCAATCGATTAATGACTGTGTTTTAACATTTAATGTATTTAATCTTGTTTCATTTCTTAATGCATTTACAGCATATTGGAATTTATTTCCAAAGAATAATGAAATTCGTGTGCTTATACCACAATATAATGTATCATATTTAGCCGATAAATTAAATGAAACATCGCGTTCACTTACAAACCGCTTTCAATTAGATCAAATAAATGTTTTTCCATGTTCGTGTCCAAAATCTGATGAGCGAATTCTATTGATCAAAGGAACACGACGTGATTATATTAAAGATTGTATTCGAGAAATATATTTTAATATTGAAAAATATAATGAAAATGAAGGTATAAAACAAGATATAAACCTCTATAATCCAAGCAATTTGACAAATGATGATATTAATGAAATAATTTTATCGAATATGGATTATGGAGGCTTTATACAAAATCGAAATAAATCAGTCAATGAAAATCAGTCTAAAATCGATACAACTGAAGATGAAGAGTATATTTACAGAGGATTGTCTTTGATGAAAAACGTTCACTTATGTTTCATTTTTAGCAGCGATGATGATTTATGGGATGAAAATGATGATTGGTGGAATTTTCGAAATACTCGAGATGGTAGCACAGAAATCATTCAACGCGAAATGATTGTTAGTAATAAACATGCCGGTGCTATTATAGGTAAACTGATCTAATTTCGTTTCTCCGTCAAAAACAAAATTCTCTCTAGGTGTTAATGCATCATATATTGATCGAATTAAACAGAAAACTGGCGCGTGTGTTTATATAAATGGTCAAATCAATGACCTTAAACGAACAGTAAAATTTGAAAATGATGATTTCCTATTAGTATATTCTCTTCGTTTTTTTTTTAAAGGCAATTATGAAAGGCACACGTGAACAAGTTGATCGAGCTTATTTATTCATTGAAAATCTTATTGACAGAAATATAAATGACAAAAAGTATCGACGAGACAAAGATACGCGCACATAAAACGCAAAGGAAAATAGGATATTTTTCATTCTCAAACCAAAAGCATCTAGTCATTTTCTTTTCTTTGTCGTTTATTTATAAAAAATAGTTAATATGCATCGAGTTTTCTTTTTCTATTTTGAAATAATTCATAAACCAATTCAATTTAATATATATATATAAATACAAGATTTCAAAGATAATTCTTGTCTGCTCAATTGTTCTCATATGTTAAAATTGATTTCAAGTTTGATGCGTCGTCACATAAGCAACAATATGATTTTTAAGCAACTGCAGTTTTCATACAATTTTCTTTCCTTCGTTTATAATTATCACACACCGTGTTGACCATCACGCTTCTTGATTTTTGCGTTGCGTGCACAGAAGTACAGAATTACGTAATAGAAATATGAATATATATTTGCATTACCTGAATATCTATCTTTCTTTTCCTATCTTTCAATTCGTCTGCGCCACGAAAAAAGATACCGAACATTTTCAACGAAGTAATGAATCTTGACTAAATTAAATTATGCTTGCGACTGCTCATACCCCGAACCATTATATCCACCCAAGAATATATGAGAATCAATGGATAGATAATCAAAGTTCACGTTTGAATTTTCTTACAATTCAGACGATTCCAGAAGAACCTGACATTTTCGATTGTCAAAAAAGTTATCATACTGATAGTGAATGTTCTTCATTATCAACCGAAGACCTTTACGTTGTTCTTGAAGTTCAACGACCACGACCAACCAATGAACCGATAAATAAAATAGAAAAGCCATTAAGTTTTGCACAAATTATTGATGATGAGCATCATGTGGAATACAATCAACTTGTTGAACCACTGGTACTTGAGGTAAAAAGTCAATCGTTATTCGATTATTAAGAAAATGAAGAAAAGAAAATGATCTATTTAGATATCTTCAAAAGAATATGCAGTAGAGAAAATAATTACTTTGCCATTGGTTGACAATGTTCTTTGCTATACACCAAAAATATTCAATAAATCTATTACGAAATCTTACTATGACTCACTCAACGATAAGAAACGTAATTATAAACCAATTGAACATAGTTCTGCATCGATTTCATGGACAACATCTGAACAACAATCAAGAAATGATTCATATTCGAACGAAAGTCTTGATTCAATTGAAAATAATTCACCGAAAATTTCCTCGCAGCAAACTCGAAAAACGACTACATTTGCTCATTTAACATCTCAACGTAGATTGAATTCTACTATACAAATACAACGAGAAAATCCGATCGCCGAGAAAACAACATTAACACATACATTTGCATTCGATCGTACTTGTATGATAAAATATAACCGAGTTAAGAACGAAAAAATTGATCAAGATGAAATTGTTCTTCCATTTTATTTGAATCATAAACCAAAGATCGATAATTCTGCTCTTCTATCCAATAATTCTATCACAAAATCTCCGGTGTTTCGTTTAGCTAAAAAACGTTCTCAAACTATCAAATCTGAATATTATTTACCTGATGAAGTTATGAAATCGAGTGAACCTTCATTACTTCAAGTGAAATATCTTGATGGAAGAGCTACATTAGTTAATAATCATATTCGAGAATTATCAGAAAAATCTGAAAATTTATCAAATTCAATATCATCTCGAACGAGCGTCTCAAAGATGTTTCACACAGAAGACATATCACTGTATGAATCGCTTCGAAAACGAATATCGAATCGTTTTCAGAATATTTTAAAATCAAGTTCGACCGAAAAACCGAAAACATGGCAACACAAGACGATATTCGAACTTTTTAGTGAAAGAAAAAAATAAAAGTTGATGTTCAATAAAATAAAATATTTATTTATTTATTAGACTCATGATTGCTTTTATTATAGAAATTCTACCGTTATCATCACAATCGATTATTAAAATAAATGTATCATGTAAATGCGATTTGTTGTTTTCAATCATGCAAATCCACACGGATACTTTTTATTCATTAAGCGATGGTCAAAAAAATAAATACACATCCATCCTTGATGATTATTTTTAGTGATATCCAATGATTGATTGCCAAAATTTATATGAGCGTGTCACATCTTGTCTCCTTTCGGTGTTCAACACTATCTATGTAACCCCTTCGGCAATTTCTTTCGATAAGATAATGACTTGAATCACTGCGGTCTACTATTTTTTAGTTAATAAACTTCATGGACTTCATTTATAATTGTATTCAATTCACAGCCTTCAACTTGACCACTAATGATTGATGCTGACATTCATTTAAAGATGCCATTTTAATCTAAATATTTCACATGAAACATAATTGAATCTATTTAGTACATAACACGTTGAGCGATGTTTTAATACGGGAAATATTTTCTTACGGGTAGAATATGCTCGCCCAATTGTAACTATTTATGAAGAGGTAGCTTTTTCTAAATGAACAATGACATAACTATGATTTCTTTTAAACAGGCGATACATTTTATAACAATAGATATAATTATAATTGTGTATTGTTTAAGGTTATCTTGCGATATAGTTGATTTACGCTTACAATGAGCAGATATTAGTGACATTCGAAAAGCTATTAAAGCGAAAACCGATGATTGTATAATTCGAAGAGACATAAAATATGTAACAAGCGTATACTTCAAAGAACAATACAAACGTAAATCCTTAATATAAACCGATAGAGAAGGTTGTTTTGTTGGGAAAAATAATCTAGCCAATTTCATAATTAATGAGACGAAATAATTTAATTTTAATTAAAAACATTTACTTATTTCGCAGTTCTCGAACTTGTGGTATCAAAAAGGGAGATTTAATGTTTTAAGTTGTATTTTTCAAAGAAAAGATGAATGATTTCAATATCGAAAAAGAACATTATAAAAAAATATTTTCTCTTGAAAGACCATGCTAAATATCTTCAATAGCGTTCATATGTAATTCAGGGAATAAGATAATTCAAGAAAAAATGAATGAGGAAACATCGGATTCGCATCCGATTGTTATGTGTACTCGAAAAACTGAGTCGATTTATATATGTTGTGAATAATTCTAAGAAAAACATTTTTATTTTGAAAAAACCCTGTACTCCCCCTCAGGGATGGTCTGGTCAATACTGACAATTTTTTCGATAGCTCAGCCATTTTTTGGCGGATCCTTCTCATCTTAGAACTCGACTGAGATATTAATAAGATCATTATGTGTACAAAATTTCATGTCAACTGGATGAGGCTTTCCAAAGTTATCGTGCTAACGGCCGGACACACTGACCGAATCTAGAGTGTACTCACTTTGTTTGAGTACACAAAAACAGAATTACATTGTACTACAGGATCCATGTTTTCATAACTCGTGTAACTCAAACCAAACAGAAATAATCGGTACATTATTCTATGGAAAATATTTTTCATTACTCAAATAATAGTAAACACTCTTTTGTTTTTATTCATTCAATCAAAGACATTCAAGAAGTGACTGATCACGTTAAAAAAATCTTCAAAAACTTCATTAAGTACTGCCTAAACCAATTCTAATAGTCTACTTAATTAATAGTTAGTTTTTGTCATCTTATTTTCAATACAAAAGAATGCGCGGCGTAAATGTTGACAGTTTCAATGCTTGAACGATTGGTTATCTTTTGACTGCCATGGTGCAAACGTATATCCGGTCAAAGTGTGAGCAACTGTGTTGTGCGTGCATACTGTCAATGCTGTTTATGATTTTTAAGTAAGATAAAATGGAACTTTTTTTAGATGCAATAGCGTATAATGAACGTCGGCAATTGATTTGATATACTACCTTTCATAAAATAATAATTGAATTTGATTTCAATAGTGTAGTTTATCGTACATTTTACTATAATTTCATGCATGCATTTTTTTTTTATGAAAATCATTCCGCTGATAGAACTCATGAATGAAACATGTTATTCATCAGCCTATTGGACGTGTTCTATGTTGAAGAAATTTATTTTGGGTATGTGAAAAATATTAGCCAAATAATAACTCGTAATGTTATGCTTAGTACTTAGGATTTCTCACGTATTACTCTGTCTTATTAAAATACTTTGCATCGATGACAAGCAAGAATATATTCTTTCTTATTTTCTATGAAATAGAATAAAGCGCAGCTCATTTAATTCCGATGAATCCTTATGTATGTCACAAAAGAAAAGCAGAAGACCAAAAAAATATGCCAACAACAATGCCATTGACAGGTGCGGATAAGAAAGATAAGTACAAACAACAGCAAACATTTAATATTCACATATATGAGTAGAGAACATAATACAAAAACAAGAAGATATCAATGACTATGAACAAACTTTTCTATCTATTTCCTCGTCATTAGTCGATGGCATTAATGATATTGTTTCTGGATTGGTTTCATTTGTAGATACGATTATTTCTTGAACAGTCGGTAGCGAAGAATCACTAGATATTCCAATTTGATCCGGTACTGATTCCTGTTCAGTAACTATTGTCGGCATATTCATTGGAGGCAATTCTATTATTTGATCTAATTCAAATGATATTTTACTATTTGTCAATTCTAAACTAGGAACTTTTTCTTGAATAATCTTTTCTTGTTTAATAAAATCCATCAAAGCTATATGAGCAAATAAATATTGATCTTCCGTTTGAACACTACCAGCACGTTCGTGTCTCATTTTAACGACAGTTGTTGGCATATCAATAAGTTTCTCGTTTAAATAACGTTTTATACCGATATCAATTGCACAAAATGTTCCTGTACGTCCAATACCGGCTGAACAATGAAGAAGAATGGGAGCTGTTACCATTGCTAATTGCTTATGGTATTCAACTTTTTCTAAAAATAATAATGCATCTTTTGTTCCAGTTGGTACGCCATGATCAGGCCATTTAAGATAGTGTGCATGAAAAATAGTTCGAGTTTCACTATGATTCCGTTTCCTAAGTAATAATGTTGTTATATTAAAACTATCATATGAATCAGATTTTTCATTTAATATTTGATAAGGTCCACTATTAAGATATTGTTTCGTTCTTAATGGCCAATATGGATAACATTTCATGGTACCGGCTTCACGAATATTAGTTGTCATGACTATAATAGAAATATTTTCTTGCCATATCATACGCCAAAAATCTTTCACTGTTGATTGTAATGGGCCTTCAAAAACAGAAATGAAATTTTTCGAAGAGCCTATGAGTGATTTTTCACTTAGTTTTACCTTGAGTAAATATGTAAGCTTTTTCTTCATTATTATAACCGCTAACATAATTCGCATTGATAAAATCACTTGTATCATCAATGTCTTCTTGAAGTTTAACACGAGTTGATTCACCTGGTATAACATCACGATAACGAGATTTATCAAGATTTTCTTCGTATCTAAAACAAAATGATAAAAGAAAAAAAACAAAGTTTAACCTTGATATGAGTTAGAAATTCATAGGTTACCTTGCAGCATGCGTATCTTTTGCTGGTGGATTCGGCAGCTTACGAAATTCTTTTCGTATTTCTGCCTGCGGTTTAGATAAGAAGTCAGTTTCATTCAATGTTTTATAAAGATTTATTGTTGCTGTTCGTTTAATATCACTGTTTATTTCACGATAGTCGTCTTCAATCATACTATTTATTGTTTTAGAATCATATTTGTCTTTTTGATTTTTGTATAACTGAAAACCATTTTCATTTGTTTTTGATGAACTAGAAAAAAAACAGAAAACTCATCGTGGTTTAAATGACTAATATCTAAACAAAAAAAAAAGCGCGAGGGCATTACAAGAAATTTCCATGAGAAATTTTACCTTGTGCTATTACACATTCGAGTCTGTTTTTATCGTAACTTATTTTATGTAGAATTATGATAATGACGAGAGAGAAATTTTCATATATGTAAAATATTGATAATGCAGAATGTCGATTAAAAGAAAGAATGGATAAGATCATTGATGAGAACGATAATGATCAATATTCCTTGTGATGAAATGACACATTCCAGTCAAAACAACCTTATCGTTAATTATGAATGAATTGTTAAGAAACAAGTTTGCAGTCAATAGAAAGTGAAGGAAAAAAAGGCACCAAAAACACCTATAACAAGATATTTGACTGAGAAAAAGAAAAAAAACACTTCTAATAAAAACGATGAAATAGTAACGACATTGATTAACGATGAATAAATAACAGTGAAACTGTCGAGTCAATTGGGATAAAGCAAAGAATTTCGATTTTGACTGTATACTGCAACATATGCTCTTAGGAACTTAAAATTCAAGCACAGGAATCGATAAATCAGAAGGCTAATCAGGCGAAATTTACTTCAGTTCACTGAATTTGTGAAGAGAAGTGAAGGAATAAATGCATGTGCTTTTTCCACTGGTGTGTAAAAAAATCAATAAAACACTGAAGAAAAAACACTTCTACTTAGGAGAGTCCTATACATTACTATAAAAGATTTGAAGATTGACTGTCAATCTCATACTGTTGCCGATTATTCTTCAACGAGACTTGTCATCATAATGTTTGGACACATATGTTGTAGGAAAATTAAAAATCTGACCGAACAAAATTGGAATTCTAATTTTCCGGTATGTGTGTGAGGGATTGCTGAATAACAAAAACAAATTGTTATTCTATTCAGATTTTTTTTTACTAACTTCATCTATTTTCATAAACTAACTATGACTAGGTAAAAAAAATGAGAATTCCAATTTTGCTCAGGCAGATTTAGAGTCCGCCTGAATTCTAATCTTGCCTACAACACACACACACGTACACACATATATATAAGTCGACAGAGCAATATAATTCTGATTCAAAGTCAGTGCTTCTAATCTTTTATTGACGCATTTAATAGTTGAAAACAACCAAACTTATTGCCCACGAACTTTTGTATCAAGCGTTATTAAAAGAGCATTATCGAGCAAATTTATTTGAGAAGTGGTTTTTTCTTCTTTAAAACAAATATATTTTCATACCATAATATTTGGCACTGCTCTCCTGTGGGGTAAAATTGTGTCATCAAAGATATTTGAGAAGTGACCAAAAACGAAATTTAAAGTCTACTAAGAAAAAAAGTTAGTTTCATTTGCAGGCGATTTTTTTGCTCTTTTCTCTTTTCTCTATTATTCATTTTTTCTCAGCAAATAGATGACTCAACAGTAACATGGCAATTAAGAAGTTTTGTTTTTGTTATTTAGAAAAAAATCAACGAACAACGAAATTCTTACTCAGTGCAATTTTCTTTTCGTAACAGTAATGATGATTTCATTGGAGGTGACTCTTCTTGAATAAGGCTTTCGTTTGAGCGCTTGCGTTTATCATTACCACTTGATGATGATGATTCACGTTTTCGCATACGACTTTGTGATGAGGACGATTCATGCCTACGTTTTGGTGACACGAACCTTAACAGAGACGCCGATGAAGATGAGGATGAAGGTGTTGTTATTGTTTTTGGTGAAACAGACGATTTATCTTGAGTAAATAAATTCTCATTCGTAGGTTTTATTGACATTGGTTGATAGTTAAGACAATAGTAAGGATAACAGATTGATTGAGGATTTGATGTTGTTGATAAACACATTTGATAACGAACAGTTCCAGTAAGCATTGGATCATAACTACCACCTAATGATATTGGTATACTATCTAATGGGTAACTATATTGATTTGTTAAACAGTGACGCATTTGATCAGCTGAGTAAAATGTAACCTTGAAAAACAAAAACAAAAACAAAAATAAAATATTGACTCAGGTTGATACGGAAAATTTGAAAACAAAGAGGTGAAAGTCGTGAATACTTCAAAAAAAAAGAACACAACAACATACGTGCAATAGTGCGAAACTAACTAAGTCTAAAGAACTATTCTCATGGCTAACATATACCATTGGTATTCTCACCCTATCACGCAGTTTTTGACTTAAAAAAATCGAGAGTACCTTATAAATTACTCTAAACCATTTAGGAGCTGATATCACGAATATGTTTTTTAGCATTGCTGGATAACCGCCCTGTTCAAAGAAAACAATGTAGATGATTTACAACGACAGAAAGAAAAGCCATTCGAAATACTTGAAGAAGTTTAAGAATTTTTTTACTAAGATTTATATTGAACTGTGATGCTGAACAATTTCGCATATCATAAATAAAATTCAAACCATTTTGTTGAACTTCAGTACTGAAATAAAAAATTTTAATTATTTTAAAATAGAAGTTTTTTCGTTAAAAAATTGAACCTTTCAGTTGCAACATCTAGCTGACAAATTAATGCTTGTAATGTAATTAATTCATGATCTTGATGTGAAAGTGAATCACTGAATGCTAGATAATTAAGATTTGATGCTGTAAAAATAACTGTTAATGGTTGATTTGGCACTGGCATCTAATTTAGAAGATAGGATATGAATGAAATTATTGAATCAATGAATGGATACCAATGAAAAAAATTTGCTTGATTCAATTTCATTTACAAGATGAGGATTTTTTATCCAAATCTGATCAAGTTTTTCTGCTTTACGAAGATTCTAAGTGAAAAAAAACAGATACAAAAATCTTAATCATCTATACAAAGAAGATCAACAATAATTAATATTAACTTCATGTGTGTTGTACAAATCGATTGCTCGAAACACATTATATTTAGTTGGAATCAAAAATTTCACAGCTGTATTAAATTTCGCACTTCCTTGCTCTGCTGTTGAATTCACTGGCCACTCCATATGTTTGACAAATTCTTCAACTGCCTAAATCGAACAATTAAAAAAGAACGAAACATTTATTTGTCAAACAACACAATCGAACATTTAATGAGTTGCTTTTCCTAGTGTGCAGTGGCGGCAGCTCGAAGTAGTCAATATTGAATGGACTTCAATGCCTTTCAACGAGAATATGTCGTTCTTTTAATGCAACGCAAAATATGTACTAGGCTCCTGTTCGAAAAAAAAATATGTTCGTCGATTTTCATATCGTAACATCTTTCCAATTGGTTTACCACTAATGGTTTGACTCAAAATAGTTTGCCTGGCTATACAAAAAAATATATTTTTACTTCTGATCAAGTCGACCCAGTTATCTATCAAATTGACTTGACCCGATTTTAGTTTCGTGGTTTTTAACCTTTTACCAAATTTATCCTTATTATTGACAATACCAAAAGTTCAAAATGAACATTTCTTTCATGAAATGTCGTGCACTAATTAACTATGTTAATTAATGTGAGAATATTATTAGTAGGAAAAAATAAATAAACCATTTTCGAACTTAACTGTGAAACATAATTGCTGTTCAACTATGAGAAATTTATTCATTTTTGGAAGACGACAATCCAATGGATTTTGTTAACGAAAATTTTGTTTTCGGTTCTAACCATTTATTCAGTGGAGTTACACTCAGTAAAAAATAGTTTCTGTAAGAGAAGAAAACTTTTTACACTTAATATATTTGCCTATCTAGTTTCTTCTTTAGCAAACAATAAAATTTTACGAGCTATTACTTAAATTTATATTAACTATTGCTTGTTCGATAATTGGATTTACAGAAGAATAACGAATCGTGTTTAAGAATTATTATTCAGTTCGAGTATTTTGAGAGGCTTATTGGCTTATTATTTTGCTTCAATAACACATTCAACTGATTTCATGTTGAATATATTACTAATTCGACTATTTGACGTAGATAACGTTGTGATAAAAGTTCTACTTTGCTCTCAAGAGTATTTCTTACAATCGAATCGATCTCTATGTTATATTGAGAAAAAAAACTTCCTTGGGGCTTGTTCAAATGAAGAAAAAGTGTACTATTTCAAGAACTGTTATGTAGTATGTCAATCTTCATTTTCTTCTCCGGCAAGACTGTCACCATTTTTTTATTTTATGATGGTAGCCATACAATATATAGTACAACAATCATACGCGTCTAGAAGGGCGACCTAACCATCGTGAGGGCGCGACTCAACACTAAATAAAACATCAGCTTTACACTATATGATAAGCTCATGTTTTTTTTTTAATTTATTTTTTAAACCTCAAAGCAACTTTGCATGATAGTTTGCACAACAGATAATATATTCTAATTCTCAACTAAACGGTAGCATGAAGGCGGAATTTCTAAATTATTGAAACCTTTCTACTGGCAATTCTCGAGCTTGATTTTTCTCTTATTTGGACATGAAGATTATATTTCAAAATCGGTGGGTATGGCTATGAATACGAAAGAAAGAAAAAACGTTAGTAAATGAATGATTAGACTTATGAAATGCTTCCAGTGGCGGCGGAGTCACTGAGACCCATGAGGCTTGAGCCTCGCCTAGGTTTTGCAAGATAAGGCTCAGCTTCACTTGCTTTTGTACTGATTATTGCCATTTTTTATTCTTGCATCAAAGAAGGTGCAAAGAAAAGTATATTTTGGTATTTTCCAATCTTCGTTTTTATACTGACCATTTTTATTATTACTGAAGTTCAATAAAAAGAAAACTTATTTTCTACTGGATGCTTTCATAAAATTCCACAGTAGGAAAAAAAATATTATGAGCCTCACATAGCTTAATGACGCTCCCCCGCCCCTGAATGTTTCCTATTCAATGCATCAATGTATCCATAACAGAATTAACACTATTTCTACTAGAACAAAGCAGCACGTTTTAATTAAAATCTCTATCTATATGCATTCATTTCTATCGTTCATGAGGCGAAAGAGAAAAAAAAGAAGTAAAGATTATATTCTCAAACAATGATTGACAAGTATTCTTCGTCTAGTTGAGGTTTTCTTATTGAACAAAGAAAAAAAAATGATGCAACCTTTGATTAAACAAAAAGTTATATTAAATTTGATATTTAAATTCAAATAAAACTTGAACTCCATTCAAGTTTAACAAAACAATTTTGAGAGAATGTCTGCTTAATAATCCTCTTTCTTTGTTCTTATCTAGTCTATCCTGTGTAGTAATATTAATTTTTCAATCAAACGAAGGATTTCTTTTTGTGTCAAAAGAGATAAGACTTTTTTTGTATGTACGCACGCTAACATGCAAAATTTTCTGTCTATACATACATGATGAGATTGTGAATAAGAAGTGTGATCAGTCAAAACGTCACTCAATGGACGATATTTTAGGAGACTGACGGAAGATTTACTACGTAAATTACTACCACCTATAACATTGCTTGTTTCACCTCCGGCTACAGCATTTGCCATGGATGATGCCTTAAAAGGTTTCATAGCAAATGAACGAATGAAAGTGAATAGATCAGTAGATCCCGAATTTCGATTGTGAATTGAATGCGACAATGAATGAGATGAAGGCGAATGCGTTTGCGTTGAATATTTAACACGTCGATTATGATTAGTTGCCGACATTGATGATGAACTTAATACTGTTGTTGATGTTGTCGTAGGTTTGTGTAGAGAATCTTTGGTTATTTGAGCACGCGTTGAATCATAGAGTGTACATTGATTTTTAAAACGACTTTCATCTAATACATCCGTAGCCATAGTAGTTGTTTCTTTTGCTCTTTTTAGTTTCTATATTTTGATTGTTTCTTTCGCAATGTTAAATAATTTAAAGGAAGTTATGAGAATAGAGTAAGTAAAAATAATGCAAGCGTAACGTAATAAGTATAGAGAAATTTCTTTACGTCTGTTGCTTTTCGTTTGATAAAAAAAAAAAAGTTCAAATAAATGAAATAGATCGGTTCGTAACACGACGACGAAAAATACGGTGTTTATTTAGACTTCGGTTCGTTTCTTCTCATGTTCTTTTCTCTTCGTTTTTTCTTCTTCTTCCTGTCATGCAGGTGAAAGAGAAAAACCTGAGCCGATAAGTGTTCTCCCTGTTTCTCTGCATGTCTATTCTTTTGTATTGCGCACCAATCGAGAGGGTTTCACATGCCCCCGTCGTCCTTTTTTCTATGTATGTGTTTCATCATATTGTGTCCGATTGCATGCTTGCGTGCATATACGGGGACAAGGCGGTGTCTATGAATTTATTTCTTATGGAGAAGGATCATCATCAAGAAACGATGATGAGAAAAAAGAGACATTCTTCTTTATATATCTATTCATCATCCGGCAAATTATCGAAAATAAAACTTTATCGGGTAACAAAATCAACAATAAGAGTACATAGAAAAGATGAATTTAACCTCTATTCTCTTCCTCTCTCCCTCCTTTCATTTCGTCTTTTTTTGTTACGTAGTATTGAATTACAAAACATTACGAATGAAAACAATAATATTGTTGAACATTCATTCTGTTTTGATCCTACTTTTCTAGCCAGATTCTATGCATATATATATATATATATGTTTAACATTGAATGTATCAATGATGTTCATAACATATTTTCCTGCGACATACGTTTGTAGTGTGTGTAATCAAAGGTTCTATTGTGTCTGGCGGTGATTCTATTAATACTACTCACCTCATCAGAAGAATGATGATTGGATGATGGTAACATCTGATGATGACAGGAACAGAGGTTAAGAAAATCGAAACATTTGCATAACAATTGCCGTGTTCGCCTTGCTAGCAACATTCATTTGTCATTTTTTTGGAACAGAAGAAAAAACGATGCTAATGTTCAGTATGCAGAAGTGCATGAGTCTTTAATTTGACCGAGTGAACGATGCCATCGGCTAAAAAAAAGAAAGAAGGACGCCAGAGAGACAGAGAGAACGGATGAGAATGAAGAGTACTATTGCATCTTTTTTTCTGTGCTGATAAAAGTGAGTGCCAGTCTATGTAATGAAGAATATTTGAGAATGATGTCATCATCAATAATAGAATATAAAAAGAATCCACAGATCTTATTAGATCGGTTTACATCTATCGAATCAAGGTTTTAGAAAATTCTAATAGGCGTTCTATGAATTGGATGCTTGTCTACTTTGGAGATACTTAAAACTTGTTGTCATAACTATTCTTACACCTCATATCAACACAATAGACTATTTTTTGTATACTACATCAAGTAAATAATGTCGAATGAGAAATTGTGTATAGAAACTTTTAAATATTTCTATAATTCTATATTAGTAATTGGTTGATTTTCGTTTTATAATCAAATTCAAACTAGATGTTCAAGAGGAAATTGAATTGGTGCGAAACGAAGAATTTCTCTTATCATAATATTATTAACATGCGTGAGGTTGAGTGTGTTATTTGAGATACACTTTATCGTAGTTCTATTTATTTTTGTAGACAAAGCTTCATGATCCGTGATAAGTATGTTATTATTTACACATAATGTTAATTTATAGTTACAACGCCGATTCAATTTACTTTTCTTCTTTCTACTTCTAACCAATTTATATTCCTCGTCTTCTATTGATCATAGCTCATTGTCGCAAAGAGACTCTGTGCAGCAAATTCAATACGTTATTTATTTGTTCAATACCACGTTGTAACTTTTCGCAAGATATTATTGGCAACTGCAATCTTTAATATACATAGAAACCTGAGCGTTCAATTGATAACAATGTCTAGTTTCAAATATTTTAAATCTGCATGATGCCTTCTTGTGATATCAGTTTAAGAGACTGATGTTTGAAAACATGGCGTATAATCGCGATAATATTCAACATGATTAAACGCCGACTTTAGTAGTCAAACAATGTCTTTAATTGAAAATAAGATTTACTTCAAAGATCACGTTGCAAGGACAAAAGAATGATACGTGATCAAAAAATAACGAGAATCAATATGTACAGAAGGAGGATGTATTGTAGGTATGGTCTGTGTGCAAGAGAATACAAAATGCGTCTTAACAGCATGTGTACAACATGACAATAGAATTAAGTTCGAACAATATGCATATGATTTATGTCTTTGGTGTAATCAATAATTCCCATTTATAAAACCAGCGTTCGAAATGATCATAGTGAAAAGTCTATTTAGAAAAAAAATATATGAGTATAACTCTACTTTTCCCTCCAGAAACAATGACTCGATCGAGCTTGAGAGAACAGATAGTATTATATCGAAGTTGTACTGTATTATAAATATAAGCCAAAAATATGCAACAAAAACCTAGTTCTAACATTGCTTTAGTTAAGGTAATATTAACTGGAATCACTTTTCTTTTGAACGTGAAACAGATTTCTAGATGATCTATATCATTTTCGAACGTAACCTTACATAACTGTCTTTATATAAAATTTTCCCAACGGCATTACTCAACAGACCTACATCGTCTCATTCTCATAGAATATCCATCAATATGCTATCAATCTATAATACAAATGAAAGCTACGTAATAATAAAAATAAATAGTTGTCAAAAAAATTTCTACGAGTTTTTCATCCATCTACTCGTATTTTAAGCAAAAGAACCAACAAACTGTGTCCTTCCATAGATTCTAACGTAATAAGTCGTTTCTGCTCATAATTTCATTTTATGCTTTCTTGTAATCATAGTTAGTATCATCCATCAATTATGAATCGAGGGCTACACCAATAACAAGTATTGAGCATGAATTTTCTGATTCAATAACGAATGAGGTCAATATGATTTTTTTTCTTCTTCATCTGATACAAAAAAAAAATCCTTGACGCACCGGATATACTTTTGCCGATAGCTATCATAAAGCAATACATTCATTACTTTGAAATGCACCACCCGCAGATGGTCTTCTATGTCGAGAGATCGATTACGTGAAGCATACAATATTTTTAGTGTTTATTATTAATATTTGATGCGAAACAATATAAACAAAGTTTCGCATTCTTATTGTCTAGATGTATTACAATTTCCAATTTCACAATTTGAATAATTCCATTCATGAATAGACACAAACAATTGGACAAAGAAAGAAAGCAAAAACACAAAAAATATGAAATGAAAAATTAGTTAGTAAATGACGATAAATAAACCAAAGAGAACAAACGAAATAGAGCAGAAGTGAACAGTGTGTAAGCATTATTATTTGATATATTGAGCCAAAATCAAGTGCCACTGTTTTGATGTGTAAATTACGCTATACAAAAAAACAAAAGATTGAAAAAGAAAACTCAATTTGTGTCGACTTCATCTGAACGGTGCGAAATGGCTCGATTTTCATAACAAACATACGAGCAAAACTCCTGAGACTTGAACAAACAGAGTATTGCGTTAAATCTAAATTTTAATATCTTTTCATATCTACAGATTTGAACAATAAATTGAAAAGGCAAATTCATTTAGAACGTAGTACAGGTGTTTGTAAAAGAAGTTCACTATCAGCCGATACAATAGGTATATTGCCTGATTTATGATACGATATAAGATGTTGAATAGAATCGAATTCATAATCTTTTGTACGAATCTATATAGAGACAAAATAGTGCGATTATAATTCTATTACTGATAACTTACTATTCCTTCTGGATCAACGAGAAGTAAATGTTTAAATTGATCTTTATAACGACCCGATAGAATAAATTGGCCAGGAATTTTCGCACTTTCACGTACAAGAAAATCACCGCTATTATGTAACAACAGTTCAGCCTAGAACAAATCCAAACAAAACGTTTTATTATTTTTTTTGTAATAACAATCTTCATATTTTATTTAATTAGAAAAAATAAAACGATCGTTTATTGTTGCATGTCTAGTTATTTAGATACATTTTGTTTACATGTACATACATCATCACGACTTATCTTGCCATGAAACCATCTTTCCTTGTAAACATCTGAGCTGTTTGTTGTGTTCCAATTTCCTAAATAATAAAAACAAATGCATTTAATCACAACTCAATAGATATTTTATTTTTAAAAATTTATACAAAATATGTTCTCTTGATTTGAACTCAGTGAACGCTTTAAATTGCTTGTCTACTAAGATTCTTACTGAATAAAAACTGCGGATACATTTTTGACGAAAAACCCATGAAATTTTACACAAAACAACTGCTTCAATAAAAATTAACTTTCATAATTGATGTTTTTAGTATACATTTTTCGTTCAATCTGATTTAATACATATCAAATGTGAGAATAGTCTAGATGAGGTTTAGATTGAAATGATAGCAAGCGTTTATGTATGATTGTTTGATAAGATAAACGAGAGACAATTGATACTTTGAAATTGAATACATGAATGTTTTTTTTTGTTGTGTCCTTCGTTAAACGTAAATATTTTCGTGTAAGATACAAAATGTTTGTCGTAGAATGATTTTATAATTGTAAAAGTTTATCAGTGAGAAAACAGAATGTCTCATAGTTGATAGTACTATATGCATATAGGGACAGAAGAAGCATACCGTGTGTCCGCGGTTGTTCTTGCTGTTGATTATGATGAGGAGCAAAGCGTTTTATATCTTCATCGCGTGTCTATTAAAAGCATACAAAATTCTTATCTAACACTTCAATAAACACAAAAGTATCCTTACTTGTGGCAGAAATTCATCATGTTCAAGTGATTTTATCACTCTAATACAATAAAATCATGAAAATTATATGAAAAAAAAAGAAAGTTTTTTTTCTAAAAGATACCCTGACTGTCCATTTGCTTGTTGTAATTGCATATATTCATTATAGCGTATTTCAAATGCTTGTCCAATTGTTGTTATAACATCTAAGGATTCATTTTCTTCACATGATAGTACATGGCATGATCGTCTATTCATATTATCTTTAGCTACATAAGCTATATAATCTTTCGTATCCTAAAAAAAAATGAAAACAAAAATCAAGAAGATAGTACTTCTACAGAAGGAATTCATACATGTTCACCAGCACTTGCAAATGAAATGCCTTCCATTTTATGTGAATAGAGTATTTGTGAATCATGTGATCGCTTAAGTATAAGCGAATCAGTATTAATTGTTAATTGAACTGGTGTACGACTATATGTTAAATTGGGTTCTGTTGCAATTTGTAATTGTTCTATTGATGGTGGATCGGGCTAGAAGATAAATATGAGATCTATTCAATAGATACAATGTCTACATACTTTACGTCGTTCTTTTAATAGAACGCCAACAGCTGTACACACGAGACAAATAGAATCGCGAGCAACGCGTGTACGATTCTCAAAGTCAAGTGTTTTCATTGAACAGAGTATTTCAACCGAGCCAATATACTAAATATTAAATAATTATAAAAATAAATTAATGAGATAATAAAAAATATCCTTACATTAACATTATAACTAACACCACATCCTGATAAAAGGTCAGTATTTGAATGTAACCAACGTGCATTATCATCATTTGTCATTGTCGTAGATCTTACAACCATCGAAAAAAAAGGCAAAAAAACGTATAAATTGTAGCTAACAAGTGAACTTGAGAGAGTGATTGAGACGTTAATCTACATAGTCTTCTTCTTCTTCTTCTTCTTCTTCGTTTGTCGTAGAGAAAGAGTAACCAAAAGAATGAATGGTCAACATTCTTTTCTAGTTAAGAAATAACTGGCAATAGATGTCAGACAATGTCTGAGTAGTTAGTCTTATTATTTTTTGTATAGGAGTAATTAATTTAAAGATAAATATTAGAAAAAAAGATTTATCGAAGAGAATAAAAAAAAACAAGATTATATCCACTGATGAAAAAAAAAATAATCAGACTTAATATTCTTACAAGAATAATTATGTGTGTCAGACGCTGACACTGAGAGACACGAGAAGATAACATCAATTCATCCTCATCTTGTTATTTTGAAATCATCTTATTAGTATAAACATAAATTTTTCAGAACATCACAACATGCATCATTTAAACAATCCTCCAACTTAGTGTTGACTTGATATTTTACTACTTCTCACTTATCATTCTATTTCAAGATTACTCAATGCGAACTTTTATTTTTGTCTCGAAGACATTTAATATTGCTAAAAAATAATAATAATAATAATAAAATAAACAGAATCTTGATATGTGACTGAACGATAAATGTGACACTTTTGTGTAGTCATTGACAGAGATCATGATACTCATTTATGGTAAAATGAGCACGGTGTTAAACCAAAGACAGTGTATTGCTTTATCAACGATAGATTATAATGACATTCTATTGACTTTATTTATGACTTGATCTTTAGTCGTCAAGGTTTTTCTTTAATTCTTTTTAATCGATTTTCATATGGATTTATGATCTTTTCGTTTTTAATGTGTTGATAGGTTTCTTTTGAAATCATACAAAAAAGGAAAGAATATTGAATAGAAACACAATCATAATTTTTCATTATCTTAACTACCAATTGATTTGATAATCAACTTTTATAAATGTATCCTGATAACATGATAAAATGAAAAAATATCTCCTATAATAGTCTACAGAATTTTCTACAGCGATATTTATGTACATATTAAATTGTATGTATTCGTTAAAATAAAAATTCAAGCACAATAAAAGTATCTTCATCGTCAAATTTCTTGCAGATGAATTTTTGTTTTAATTTACTTCTTCTAACTTATTTTAATATGAACACAAATATTAGAAAAAATATATTTTTTTCATGTCAGTGAGTGACACTTTCTATCATCCACTACTTGTATGAGTCTTGACTTTCAATTATTCGATAATGAATATTATTTTGTCTTTCTTCCTGACTCTGACGTCTTGATCTTCGACTACTCTGCATAGCTCACACAGCAATAAATGAATGTTTATCACGGAATCAAATAAAATATACGTATAATAATTATTAATTTGCCATTCCTATGCTTAGATGCGAGTGAGAAATTTTTTCTTGAATGTGCCACTATCCAGATATATAACCAGAGAACTTGTGAACAACACTTGGCCTAGGAATGTATGACGTGAGTAGATTAATAATATGCAGAGTATTTTTTGTCGACTAATTGAAATAGAATTTTAATAGAAGCACAAAATAATGTAAGAATTCGAATACTGTAATAATTTACTGTTTTCCTTCTTCTTCTTCTTCCTCTTCTTCCTCTCCTTCCTCTTCTTCCTCTTCTTCCTCTTCTTCCTCTTCCAACAACTTATTTTTCTATATTAACACAAATGTTGAAGAATCAAAAATTCATTTCCGAAGAATCTTACAATAAGGATTTCTTGATGGTACTTGAATTTCTATCTAAGCTAACAAAAATAATTCAAAACATGCATGTTTACGGTTGTAGAAAATTCTGCGCACGATCAGAATAGAGATGATTATTCTTGTATGAATATTAATTTATAGTGATGACACGTTAAAAAGATAAAATCTTGCTGGATGCGTGTTTTTTATTTAGAGAAAAATGCTTCTTGACATTTCAGTGACATGAGCTTTAATAATGAGAAAGAATTTATGTTTCTGCTTGAGCTATGATAAGTAGGGATGGTACGTTTACGTTAATTTGAAATTAGCGTTAGCTCAAAGCGTTAGCCGTTAATATTACCGAATTAATGTTTTGGGCGAAACCGTTAACCGTAACGCTTGACGCTTTTAGTTAATTGACGCCGTTAATTAGCTTGCATTATATTAAATGGCCCATCCCTAATGATAAGTTTATTGAATTTTCAGCTTGAGAGAAAATTGGAAGGAGCGAATAGTAAATAACATTTTCTTTTATTTTGACTTGAATAATCGGTCATAATTATTAGAATCTTCTATGACATTTAGATTTAAAAGAAGCTTCTTACATGATTGAGTCAATCCTTTAAGAATTTAAGTAGCTTGATAGAATTTGTTGAGAGAAAAAGTTTTGAATTTTTATGATTTTCAACAAAATAAAACAAGAACGCTATTCTACTTGTTCATAATGCATCTGAGTTTTAGTTTTATTTGCAAAATATAACTTTCGCTAGAAGCTCTATCAATAACGAATTCGTATTCTAATAAATTAACCTGTAGTAGAAGTTGTTATTTTTGTATGCAATTAAAATGGCTACGTCTATCCTATTATTTCTAACGTTTAAAATTTACCCAAGAATAGATTGCGTGACTTTGATCACATGCTGCAATTGTCAGTTGTATCCTATTTCAAACTATATTTATACCTAGCGGGTTGACTGCATTAATTACAATCTTCTATAGAGTTATTAATTTAGAGAAACATTTTATCTTTGTATTGCTCAACAAAGCCGACTTTGAATTATGTATACAAAATATTACATCAATTTTTTCATGTCCACAAAGTGTAAGGCTTAATGGATCGACTTTTTGTTTTGTATTCTTCGGTTCGAACAAGAAAAGTCAGTTTAGAAGGTCGTTTTAACATAATGAATAGTTCTATATTGAGCACGACAAAGATCTACTAAGCTGCAACGATCATATGTCCTGTGAAACGTTCGGTGGTCGTGATAATCATTCTAAAAGAAAGCAATACAATTATGTTTTTCAACATTCTGTAAAAGAGGCACGAACTTCTTGAACGTTAGATTGATGCAGTCGATAATCATGACGACAGAATATATCAATAGAAACGAATCTAATTTGTGTTAATTTTTACTATGTGACATGACAGTTATATATTTTAATTCTACTAGAATGAATGTGTTCAAAGAACCCACATAATAATCTACTTAAAAGATTGAATTGATTATATATTAAAATTTGTCTATGCTTTTTACTTTTATTTTTATTTATACTGTCTTGTTTTTCAAATAAAAATTTGCACAAGATGATTATTATAAATGTTGGCAACTGCGCAGAATACTTGCAAAGATCCTATTCTTGTTTTTCATCGTTATCTGTCATCCCATTTTACGAATCGAGCTTATTTTTTCGTTTGCGTTAGATCAAATCTTTGGTTTTGAGAGTCATCTTCTCAGATTTAAATAAATGTTTCATCAAATTCTTCAATGAAAATTACTCAAAAACTAGAGAGAAGAAAAACAGCAAAACGAGTACCATATAAAACAATATACAAATATTTTATTGATTAAATTTGTCTTGTTTTAAATATTTTCTTTCTTACATACAACACGTGGCTAGATGCAATTAATGTGCATTTTGGAAACGAACAATTACAGAAAAAAATAATAAATCAATAGTTTATATGCAAGTATGTACGTATAGAACTGCCGATAAAATTTATTCGGTATTCGGGTTGACGAGAGGTTTTGATTACAATAGAATAACTCATCTATTTCCATGGTAATTTAAATGGCAATTTATCGGTTATGGTATTCAATGCATTTGTTGCCATTTTAACTGGATCAAAGCCTATGAATGAATAACAAAATGGAATATCACAACAAAGAAAAGAGAAGAATAATGAAAACTTACTATCATCATCATCCGGCAATGGAATGGGCCCTTTTTTATCTGCTGTCAACCGTCCTTCACATGGTGGTGGTAATGAGATTGCTTCTTCTTTCTTTTTTATATTATACTAAACAAACAAAAAATAAACTGTAAACCACTGATTACAATTTTTTTTTATCTATGACGTATTTACTAATATAGAAGAATAATGTTAAATGAAAAATCTCATAATCGTATTTACCATCAATCGTACTAATAATTGATTTAGACTAGAAAGCTGACTGAGACAATTACTATATAGAATTTGAATAAATATATTTCGAACAAAAAAAAAACAATAATAAACGTCCGTTACGAATTCGATTATTAGACATAAATACTGAAGCAAAAAGCTGCTGTGTTTTTTTTTCTTGAAAAGTTATTTTGAATTTTGTCTTCTAATAGAAAATCATCAGAGTTTAAATAAAAAATATACTAAATCTCAATCATATCATGACATTCATAAACAAAAGACTGTCGAATTCATTGAACAATCGTATCCCAAGAGTGTGCTTTTAATGACAGTTTTATCTGTTTTTCTTTTCTTGTCTAACCAATATCGATATCTAGTTTTTATTTAAAGTTTTGATCTTGACCCAAAACAATAGAATTCAAATTTTCCGTATTCAAAAATTTACTTTTTCTCGAATAGTTTGTCGAACTTCTTCACGTTGTCGTTCCATTTTCGCATATTTTGCATCGCGTTTTTCTTCAGCTTCACGTCGTGCCTCAGCAACCTAAAAATACAACATATTTTTCTTTTCAATATTAAAAACAGAAGCAACTGATTAATAGGTTTGAAGAACTACATATATATGTATGTATAATATTAATCCAACAATTTTTTTGCTATCCGTTGACCATCATGTTCACTCACCGCCGGCGGTTCTACCATACTCTTTCGACGAAGAATTGTTGGTGTTGTTGATGGGGATGATGGTGTAGATTTATTAAATGGTGGTACAAGTGAAAATCGTCGACCCGTATTCGTCGAAGGCGCAGATAGAAATAACGAATTTACATTCAATTTATCCATAGTTATAACTTATTTGATAAGACAAAAAGAAAATCGAATAATTATTGGTTGATATTTCCAAAAATCAAATGAATGTTTAGAGTGTATGAAATTATTAGACAGATTGCTAATTATGATGATGATGATGATGAGGATGATGATGATGATGATGATGATGATGATAATGATGATGATAGAGTAGTGAATGATAAGAATTGTGTTTGTTAGAAAAAAAGATGTCATTCATTGAGCGTTCACTTAAAAAAAAGACGAAGAAGAAAAGAGACTGCGGAAAAAAACATCAAGACGAAGAGAATAGGATAAGAGGAAGAGGGGGCGAGTAGCAGAAAACAAAAATTACTCTGAGATAGTATGATACTATGTTGATCTCTATTGAATCAATACATTTTGACTGGTTGTCACTTGTCGAGCTAAGAGGTTTGTTGAAGAGAAAATAGAAATGAAACAATATACGAAATAACTATATCTATATAGTGTATAGGAACGTTCAATATGATAAGATCTAACTATCAGAATCATGGACGATTCAACCGATCGAAAGCGACTATCAAACACGTTTGGTAATAATATATATATATATAAATGTATATATTCGAATAAAGTTGGAAAAATAAAATGGGTGCGTTCAGGCAAGTTCTTTTTCTTATGTTTCTTATTCAAGATGCCAAAAGTGGTTAATTATTGAACAGATTCTTTGACAGCAATCATAATAGAATTGATGATAACAAATAGCACAAACACAAGCACACATCAAAACATTGTATATTTATAAATATACATAAGCATGTTTATCTTACCTCGGGATCTTCTTCATCGTTGCCACCTTCTTTTTTATCGCCGTCACCACCAGTCAATTCTTCAATATTAAAGAAAAACAACATCATTAAATCCAAAGTATACGTATATTATCTTGTATTGACTGATCCTAATTTTGATATAAACCGATGGTAAATACTCAAAAAGAATTCTTTTCTTCCTTTTGTTTTTGTTTTTTCAGAGTGCAAACTTGTTAATATGAAATCGATGTGGGATGTAAACATTATTGAATGATTAGCTTGAGGCTTTCATATAGAACTTCTAATATTAAGCATTACAAGTACTATTTGAATGAACGTCATTGATTTGCTTCTAATTAGTAGATACTCAAGAAATATAAAAATAAAAAAACGGAAAAGTTTATTTCGTAGTTCTATTTAATGTACTCCTGTGAATTTAAGTATATAAAAAGCAGATAGCTAGTTGCATACAATGCGATAACATAAATCAACCGCGAATGAGCGACATCATGAGAACATGAAATATTCTCTGTTTTTTTGCCATACGTACCTTTAACCTTATCTAATTGAGAACCCATCATTTGTTTCATAATAAACGAAGCCATGATAATTTTTATATTATGTACAGATCAATAAATACGATATATTAATATATATATATAGCTAGAAAACAAAAACAGAACTAATGTCGAAATGTGTACTCAATCACAGGCGCATCAAGTCGCTGTGCCTATTTGAAGACGTAGCAAGAGATCTCTTCGTTCATTACATTAAGCTTTTCTTTTCTTCTATCGCCTATTTTCTTTTTTTTTTCTTCTCATCATTCTTCTTTCTCGCTATAACTATTAGTGCTCCTACCGCTGACAATACTATAGTGTATTCCTTTTTAACTTGTTATTTCAATGTAACTTGTCTAGAGAACTATCCTTGCTCTTCCTTGTCGTCACATTCAACGACCAACAAAATTATACTTAACAAATAAGAGCAACGCTCATTTCTGAACATCATAACGGAAAAAGCAAATGCTCGTTCTAGACAAAATAACTATGAACAAAAGAAAGAAAGGAGTACAAGCCTATTTATTCTATTACATGATTATTTTTTTTCTGTGTCATGATATCTGTTTACTCAAAAGAAGAGGACGCATATTAAAATAGCTTGTTTAATAGTAATCGTTTTTCTGTATACATTTATAATCAATCTTTAGAATATCAATGTATGCATCGATACGAATGTCGTGAAAGCAATCTTTATAACCTATTTTACAATGCTTAGTGTTTTTCTTCTTCTTCTTCTTCTTCTTATCATTACATCTCTCGAAAAATGAATAAAAGCTAAAAGAATCAAAATTATGCTTATTTCTTAAATACTATAGATCAACAGATTCTATCTACTGAAATATGACTATTCGATTAGGATAAAAAATAATGAAAGGCAATTTTTTTCTAAACCTACAATATAATGAATAGCGTAGTATATGCCAAGAAAAACAGGACAGAAAAAAAGGGGATTGAAAAAGCATTGATTGGTGTTCGTTAAAGTACGAGTTTATCTAAACTATATATAGAGGTCCTGCGTTTGCAAAGAAATTATTTACTCAAATAACACCAAAACAAAAATAATCGTTTGAATCAATAGTCGAATCAATCTAGTTATCAGAATAAAATCAGAACCTCACATAATGGAATACTTTAATTGCCGGTAGAGCTTCTGGATTCTGCATTAAGTCAGATCACTCGCTTTCTTTTACTTCTGTTCATTTTTTAAGATACTGTTCTATGGGGGAAAAAAAGAAACGAGCATGCCAAAACACCGACAGACAGTTTCTCGGTTTTTAGATTTCTGATCGATAAGATCAGAAATAGAAAAAGAAAAAAAAATAGTGTGGACAGACATTTGATCATAGAAGAATTGCCTAGCGTACCAAACTACTCTTTTGTTTTTTCTTCTTCTCCTCAGTTATGACGAGTGCGATGTTGCCCGCCGTCGTCGATGCTTGCCACTATAATGAATCAAAAAGATTTTCTTTTTTTTCTTGCTAGTGCTGAGATTCGATTCTGCTGTATAGCAACGTACGGTCTCACGTTAAGTAGAATAAAAGTAATAAATAACAAGAAAATGAAGAAAAGAAAGAGGCAAAGCTTCATGATCATGACATAAACAATTGATCATTAGTGTAAAAGCAAGTAAATTATATTTATAAGTATTAACTGGTACTCAAAATAAAGTATAAAAACAATATTAAAAAAATAGATTCTTTTTTGTTTTTTGTTCGGTATAAAACGTTTTTTTGCGATCTATTAATCAAAGCCTTCAACAGGCCATTTGAATTTTTTGTGTAAGGATTCTTGTCCACGTGCGTATTTTCCATATTTTTCCAATGCACAATCTTTATGTACTGTTCGCCAACCAATTAAACTACTTGTGGTCATTGGTACTGGCCTTGGCGATGGACAAATTGTAACCGTTTGTTGTGGTTGTTGTTCTTCGATTTGTTTAGTTTCAGTTGTTGAAGAAAAACAAGAATCAACAAGTAAAGTTCTTGGCGATCGTTTCGGATCGTACGATAGTGCCTATTAAATATTGATTTATTCAATTAATAATTAAAAAGTTCCAAAGAAAATTTTCAATCATACTGCAGATTGAATATCTTTAAGAAAACCCCATTTTTCATCATGAAATTTTTGTGCTGTATCAATCTTCGCTATATGATCTTTCCTGTAAAGCATCTAATTATATTAACAGAACAAAGAAATAATTAAATCATATTACCAGATAAGGTCTTTAACAACATAAGATTTCTTATCATTGTATTGATCAGTTCGGCTTGTCGATGTTGCCATTGTATTCGTTTAATGTTGCGCACGCTAATGATGACAATGGAATCGATGTAAAAATGCTCGAAAAGAAAAGGAGAAAAAGAAAACCTCCACAGAGTAATCGAACGGCAAAAATCGCAGTATGTCAACAGAACAATAGGCATGGCAAGGATACTATTGGCTTTTTTTAAACGTTAAAAGTAAATGGACTAAATGAAAGCAGAAAAAATATCGATATAAAAAAGTGATGTGATTGAACAAAAGAAAAAAAGTCAGAAATAAAAAAGAATTTAGGCTATCTGATTAACTGCACGTCTTTATATATATATATATAGCTATATGTAAATCAAAGAGTTTTTCATTCTTTATGATTTTTCTTGTCGTTTGTTCCGATCAGTTAAGAAAATAAGAAAATTATTCGCTTATATTAACTATTTTATAACATGAGCGTTGGTGAACCTGGTATGTTTTATCAAGATACTTACGACTTTTTCTTTGTTTCTGTCAATCATTTCCATAAACTTATCTATAGACAAAACTTTTACGACTAGACATATGAGAGAATAAATTCTAATGTTTTATCAATACCATTAGAGTTCCCGTCATCTCCGTTGACAGTTTTCGATTTGCTTTGTCGTCGTTATGGCTTCCGCCTTCCTTGATCTTAGATAATGACTGAAGAAGAAAAAAAAAGGCATAACAAAAAAGAGAAATGTAAGCAACAATGATAAATCGAATCTTTGTTTCAGCATTAGTCGATAGTGACTATTAGTTCAACTATAAACCAGTAAGAACACAATGACATCAGAACAATCCGATGATGATATTTTTCTTGATTCAACAATTAGTAAAACTGATCCATTCTTTTTCCCATCATCACCAAAATCTGTAACAACAAAACGTAATCATGAGGCATCACGTAAACAAAAAATTCATATAGTTTTTTTTCATATATATTTTTTAGAATTTTAACAATTTTTTATCTGTTTTGTTTTTACTAGACGATACGATAAGTCCATTGATACGTCAAATAAAATCAGCATCATTGTCAATCGGAGAAAATGGTGAAAACGAACGAACTATACATAATCGTCGTCGACCAAGTGTTCTGGACGAGAAAGCATTGCGTGAAGCTGATACAGAAACAGTTCGTGAACAGCGTATTGATGCTATTAGTAGAAGTTATCAAGGTATTTTACAAAGTATTGGAGAAGACCCATCACGACAAGGTAAATGTTATTTTCTTCTGCATTTTCTTCTTTTTATTTATTTTTTTATAGGTCTTCTCAAGACAGCGAAGCGTGCTGCTGAAGTATGTATAAACTGTTAATTTTAATTTAATTGTAATAATGGCAAAGGGAATAAATTGTCTTATTCATTTTTTTCGAACGAAGGAATCAATTAATATAAGTTTGTTCTTTAGGCATTGGTATTTTTTACAAAAGGCTACGAACAATCGATCCGAGATGTTGTCAGCGATGCTATCTTTGATGAGGAATGCGAAAATATGGTTGTGGTAAAAGAAATCGATATGTACTCTTTATGTGAACATCATATGTAGGATGAAAAAAAACGATTTCTTGTCTTAGCAATATTCAACACAGTCGATTTTATTTAGGGTTCCTTTTTTTGGAAAAGTATCTGTCGGTTATTTACCAAATAAACGAGTATTAGGTTTAAGTAAAATAGCAAGGTAATAGATTCGTCTATAAATAGATGATACATCTTTCAGTTTATTTTTAGAATTGTTGAAGTATTTAGTCGACGACTACAAGGTTTGTAAATGCGTAGAAGAAGAAAAGAAAATGGCAAAATTAAAAAAAAATTGATATTTTTAGTGCAAGAACGTTTGACACGACAAATTGCAGAAGCAATTGCCGAAGCAATTGAACCGAGAGGCGTAGCTGTCATTATTGAATGTCTGTAAGTAATAAAGAAAGAAGAAAAAAAGGGAGAGACAATTGAATATGTAAATAATTTTCTTTCCTTCTTTCTTTCATTTTTCTAAGACACATGTGTATGATTATGCGAGGTGCGCAAAAAGTTAATTCGCGAACAACAACATCAGCTATGCTTGGTGAGTTTCGTGAAGATCCGAAAACTCGAGAAGAATTTTTAACACTTGGACGCATTAAACCATTTTAACACGTTTTTACTAGTCATTTCTTTCTGTTTTTCGATTGTAAACTTATCTTTAAAGTATTGCAATATTATTATTCATGATAAAATAAATAATTGAAGGAAAATCCTTTTTTTTTGTTTATTTCATTGCAACACATAATTGTTTGAGTTTTTGATAGTAGAATAACAAACGAAAGCGCAATACCTGTCGATTCTCGGCAGTTACGACCAACATTAAATCTAGCATTAGATCTGGATGGGGATGTTGTATAAGTCTTGAGGGAACCTATGCCTCTGTATTTGAGTTCTCGCCGCCCATCAACGCCCATCGACAAATCTACACCTGCTTTTATATAATCTTGAAATTTTTGTGTTCATATGAAAGCAAATATTGTTGTGCATTTAGCTGCCATAAACAAATTCTTTTCGAAAAGCAAAGAAAAACTTTTGCGCCTATGGTCATACTTCATTTGACTATTTGACTACACTTTCGTGGTGTTGTCATCAAAGTGAAAATATTTATGCATTCTTATTGTTCATATCTGTGTAGGGCAACTTTTTTAAATCTTTGGATGAAGTTATTATTTAGAGTTCCTTTGAACTCTCAATTTAATTTTATTGAATAAATCTCCTTCGATCTTGGAATTTGGGCGTGAGGTAATGGCGCGATTTACATGTAGATGAGTAAAATTGACAGTGACAGTACTTATATGAGTTTTACATTTATCTTTATTTCTATCTAAACAGCAGCTACCGCATTTTGTACAGAACACTGGAAACGATACTGATCAACTTCAATTTCTATCAGAGGACAAATAGGTTACATATCTCGGTAATGCTCGACAACATGGTCGTTTTGATTATTATTTATCTACTGATGCAATTCAGGGACTGGTGAATAAAACCATCCTTGATTGCAAAGGAAATGTGCATCTTGTGTAGTAACTATACTCAAGACCATCAACGCAAAAACTAATTCAACCGTTGTTGCTATACAATCTTATGATTTTTGTTTGTGTGCAAATATAAACATCGATTGATACCAGGGTGAACGGATCAAAAATTGAAAAATCAGCAAATCTTTTTTCAAAATCAGAAAACGATCAGAAACTATCTCTGAAAAATTAGAAATTAATCAGAAAATGGCAGTTTTTTGACAAATTAAGTACATCTTCCGCTAAAATATTGACATCCAGAATTCTGCTGCATTTATGTTCACTGATTGAAACTTTATTTTCAAAGATTTTAAATAAAACGAAAGAAGCTATAGTGAATAAATCGTTTAGCTAATACGCAAACATCAATAAAAGATACCTAATGTTGAGCTTCTTTTTAAATTCAAAACTCGGTCACAAAAACGAGCAAATCTAAATCACATACATTCTGCGTAGACTAAGCAATCCAACGAGAAAAAAAAGTTAAATTCCATTATCTCGGTATTGTTATTCATATATCGTATCTTTTGGAATTTGCTCTAGGAAGTTTGTTTAAGATAACATATGCTAATAAAAACATTCTCAAGAATAATTACCAATCGCTTTTATTTTAAATTAAGCATTATCTGGTTTTATATTACTGGATTACGATAATCGGGCTATAAATGCTTCATATAACCGAAAATCACTTCGATTCCAGAATTCGAACGAGGAATATAAAAGATGATTAATACAGAAAATTGATGAAATACTATTGATTTATTATAGTAATGGGTTATAATCGTACCTAATTTCAGTGACAAAGCAGCGATCTGAAAATATTCCAAATTCAGAAAAAATCGGAAGATCAGAAAAAAATCAGAAACATGTTCAAAATTCAGAAATTTTCCCTAGTTTTCAGAAGATCTGGCCACCCTGATTGATACACAGTATACCTCCTCAACAGAAAAACTAATTCGAAAAGAGACCTCAGAAGAATGTTGACATCAATATGAATAATTTGTTTCGCTTTTGAATAAATTTTATCCTCTGTTCCAGGTTGCTGAATGACTCGATCGAAGCGAAAATATTTACCTTCTCAATTTGCTCAATGATTCAAAACAACAAAAATATGACTATACGTATATGATCTATGAATAAAAGCAAATTTTTCTTGTCATTTCATCAATAGTTTTCTTTCTGCTTCTTTGCACACATCACTTTTGTATAAGCTTATACTAGTATGTATCAGTTATCTGATAGTTTGTTCTCATGTACGTTCTCTTGCGTTATCAATACATTAACAATGACTGCTGGATGAATCTTTTATTTCGCAGTATATGATTTTCAATTATGAATGCACATGCACATCAATGGATACAAGTAGAAATGATTGAAGTTTGCGCGATTCTATCCTGAAGCTTATCCACTTGAAGATTTTGTAAAGAGCTTCATCATCTATAAAAAAAAAAGGAATTCGTTTTTTTAAACGATCAGACTATTTTCTAATGAATATAATGCCACGAATTCTGAATACAGCAGTAATATTGATGTAAGTGCATCTGTCTTAATTATACTAATGATTTCATATAAATTTCTTCCTAGATTGGTTGTGTCCACTGTCAGAGGTAAGAAAAATAGGTTTACTTCGACGGTGTACATAAAAAAAAACAATTTGAACGCATGAACTTTATAGCATCAAAGATTTTCGCTTCTTTTTCCTTTGGAAGAGTGAATGATATAAACTACTTTGCCTATTGAAATGATTCCAACAATTCTATTTATACGATTGTACGCCATCATTTTAATTATTCTTGGTCAAGACGCAATTATTTCTACAGCTTCTTCTTGTGGACGTTGTTCATCTCAAGAATGTCGAGCAAATCCAGTGCCGTACTCAGCCAATGTTGATTGTGAATGCTTACTAATGACGATGACTGCAGGTGGAATGTGTGCTGATACTATTGTATCATGTAATGATTTGACTCCATGTCAAAATGATAATGTAACGTGTTTGGTGTCCAATACTGTATGTGTCAATAATAGTCGCTGCAATGCTCCCGTATGCTATCCACTTGAGCGTGCATCTTCTCAACGATGTCCTCCATTGAATTCAAATACATCAAACATCATCACAAGTAAGTCTCTTTTCATAAGAGTACTGGTGATCATGATAGAACGATTATGTTACTATAAAGCGTTGGTCATGTTTAATAGTATCCTGATGTATAGTCAAGTTTTAAAACAATTTAAGTCTTACGATAAAAATGCTTTTAGGAAGTTAGACTTAATTACATATTTTCTGTCTATAGATTGTCAGCAAAAATAAAATTCCAACATAATGCCAGTGAAGAGTGCTGTAGCTGATACGTATACATATAGAATCATCGTAGGCAGTGCAGCTTTGACTTGAGCGGTTCAAAAATCAAAACAAATAAAAACTGTCTTGATAAGTTTTATTAAATTTTCTAATATCTTAAAGAACACATTGTTCTTTTGGAGATACTTCACCTTTTTATTTCAATAAGATCCTCAGACAACGAGGGAATGAAAATTTCTATTGGTTCCGATGCCTTGTGCATAGAAAACGCTATTTTCGTTGTAGCAGAAGTTTCACATTGGAATAAATTGAAATTTATTCATAATTTGCTGTCTCCCTGCCCGAGTAGATTATAATCTGTTCAACTCGAGGCTGGATTTAATACGAAATACAATGTATTGTACTAAATTATAATTAGCTTAATTTACCAAATATTTTCGAGTAAGCATTAACTCCGCTCATTGCTTTTGGAAAATATTTATTATTACACTCACTTAACCGACGACTGATATTAGAGTGATTACATTCTTGTGAAGCCTATTATCAAGTAGTCAACATCTTTTACAACATAGTATTGTTAATACAGAAAGAACCCTTTAAAAACACATTGAATCTGGTTTTTGTTTAATTCATACATTGGTTCAATGCGATTCATTCATTATGTCAAACGCGGTTTTTTCATTCACATTAGTGTTAGAAATTGTTTCGAATGAAATAGCGTCAGTAGTTGAGTGAGGTTGAACCGACAAGAAAACACTGACACATTAAGCCACCAACGGAAAAAATTTCGTAAAAAAACGCGACTAACCGCGGTATTTCGAAAACGCGGGAGTCAGACCTTTTAGGCGTCTCTCAAAAAACCGCTGAAAACCGCGTTTTTTTTCAACGCGTTAGGACGTAGTTTCCACAAGACGCAACCAGACGCGGTTTTAAAAAACGCAGAAAAGTCGATGAGAACCGCGGTTTCCGAATAACATATTTTTTTTACAGGTACCCTTCGTGGGGCTGTGTAGTGAGCTATAAGTTCCAATACTTCAAAGTCACTTTACAGCGACGAAGTTCATCATAAACTATATAATAGTTGGAACCTAGTTGTGCCGATATTGATTGCACGCTTCGATGATTCTCCTTCCTCTTCCTTCTGTTCTCGTTCCATTGGTGTAATATCTCTCTCTCTTGTCTCTCTTCTATCTCTCTCCTATATATATACGTGTGTTATGTATGAAGTTGTTACACTCTAGAGATGTCAGATGACACAATATACCATCATGTCGACGGGCATAGGCGACACTCTCTAGTTGTGTCGTTACACTCTGGATATGTGAATAAACGAATAAACATCATTACCTAGAGTAGCGGTAAGCTACTCCACCTCTATCCAGTTTGTCATTACGATATAGACTCAACTGAGTCATATTTATCGTTACACTAGTAAGGTGCGCACAACATCTTTTCTGTTCTTACACATTGTTGTAGTAACAAACTAAGTATCGTACGAAATGCGCAAAGACAATACTGGCAGACATTCGCTGTACCGCAAATACCGCGACCAATCGCGTTGCAAATTACCACGATTGCCGTTTAGTTCAACGCGGTTTATGACACCGCGAATAACCGCGTTGTCGATTACCGCGTTTACAATCGAGTTCAACGCGGTTTATGACACCGCGGTTTTTGTTGAAAAATGTTTTCATTGTGGAAAAGTTTTGGAGAAGACTTCATATCAGATCTATGAAGATTTACTCCGAACCTAATCAAAGATCGCCGAGGTACTCAAAATGTCAAGCACAGAATGTGTTAAGTATCGTAAGCAGAATCTTCTCATCACGTTTCATGAAGGCGCGACTTACACTACCGCGTTGACACACATGACTCCCGCGTTCCATAAAACCGCGACCAACCGCGGCTTATTCTACCGCGATGATACACATGATCACCGCGTTTTCATGAAACCGCGACTAGCCGCGGTTCATAATACCGCGGTGCATCATGGAAGAACCGCGATAACAATAAAATCCCGCGGTTGACCGCGATTTTTTCGAAATTTTTTTCCGTGGGCAGTCAGCACGATTTGCGGATGCACATAGATGACAGTAAAAGCTTATCACTTTTTATTGATTGACCTTAAGTTATGCCACATATCAGAGATCATAATTAAGCCTATGAGAAGATTATTCCTATTTCAAGAACAAATCCATATAGATAGCGATTCATTATCTTGAATGCATCACTTTGAATATCTTTGACGAAGTCTGAATCAGTGAAAACTCACGATGGTGTTTTGCTTTTTCAACAAAAGCTCTAACAAGTATAGGAACTACATCAATATCATCAACTACAACCACGGTACCGACAACATTAACTACAACGATCATTTATACTTATACGCCTACTACAAATTTCAGTAAGTGATTACCTCTACATTAGGTTTATGACAACTCGCCACTCAATAAACAGAATAAACTGGCTGAAAATCGGTGATGAATCGGGTCTTTATCTTTTAGCTGGGTGTACTGGTCAGCTTTTTAATTGCCGATGGGCTCCGTGTATCAGCAGTTTTAATGGTACACGTGTGGTGTAAGATTCTAATTGGTTGCATTTCTGTAAATGCGAGTTATTTTTAGGAATTCCGATCTGAGAAATTGTTGAAAACTCAGTTGCCTATAAGCTGCGATTGGTCCAGATCTAGTAGCATTTGTTGAACTGACGATCGATCATATGCAATGCATTCTGTCAAAATAGTGTGATATTAGTGCTGTTAGTATGTTTCCAAACTCACGGTATATACCGATGTCGTCTCTTTTTTATCAACTGTGCTGCAGTTACGCGTAACTATGGTACATTGATCGTAGTGAATATTTTTTTAAGAAACTACGCTTACTGTGATGCAGATCAACGTAACTGCATCCTAGCGATCGCTTCCTACGATCCCTTGTAGGTATAAATGGCCAATTATAAATTATTCCTCCTTATTTGTAATTGACTACATTCTAACAATAAAACATAGTCACAGAAAATCAGTATAAATAGCAGTGCTCGTCACATTCTCTTTCATAAGTCATTCTACTATAAGCAGTAGAATACATATATTTTATTTTTTTTTATTTTTCTAGATTGAAATCTTTTTAGTTTTTGAATTTTTTGTAAGTAAATTTTCCTCTACTATTTATTAAATTTTTAAAAATTGTTTTAGATGTTCATATTTTTATTTTTTTAGATATTTATTTTTTGTTTTCCTTAATTGTTAAAATTAAATTTTTTTTAACTTTTAGCATAGTAAATTTTTTAATTTTTTCAGGTTTTAATTTTTCAATTATTTTTTTCTTGTGAAAACTTTTAATTTAAAATTTTTTTAACATTTTTTTATAAAAATTTAAATTTTATAGTTTTAAGTTCTTTATTTTGTGCAAAAATATTTTAAATTCATAATAAAAGTACAAATGAAATGCAAACCTAATCTATGTCATCTTTTGTACCAATTGCGACGACGCTGCTACCCATAATTGCGAAAAACTTGAACACAGTATGCGTAACTGGGATTTTTTCACCATAACTACCCGTAATTGCGACTTTTTCATCGTAGTTACGCGTAGTTACGTCGCAATTTTCCGCAATTACGGATAACAGTGCGATCGCAGTTACGCCGTAACTGCGCCACAGTTTCATCGTAATGAAACACGTGGGTATTTATTTAGAATGTGTACATAGAATCATTGACTTTTTGTTCATTATTATTGGCAAGCATTGTGTCAGATTTAGTTAGATTTTCATCACTTGATATTACCAATAAGGCATATTTCTATTGACTTGATTCACTGATTCGGAACGTAGAAGTTTGATTGTACATTCCTCCATTGTTTTTACAACAGTTTGAATACATTACATGGCTAATTAATTATGTCCAACTCATCTGCAATGAGCTGAGTGTGAGCTGTCACTTATCCAATATGTTGCTTCACGCAGTATAAATAGCACAATAACATAATATTTCGGTTTATTGGGTGTGGGTGTGCATATGATTATAGATGATTGATATATCTTCGCCGACAACCATATCTACACTTACTTAACCTACACCCACACCCAACCTTTATTGTAAAACACTAATAGCTTTTATGGTTTCATTCAAATACGTTCGCTGATGGCCATCCGTGCATTTTCTTTTCGTTTTTCTTGACAATGTACTCTGTCACCTGTTTGCTTGCAAACAGGGTTGCCACACGCTACAGTCAGAAATCAGGAATCTGGGCGTCAAAATCTGGAAAGATTTTTAGCATCATTTTAATTCGTTACCGTTCGGTTTTTCAATCAAAGTATCAATTTCCTTGTTCTAGATCTTCAGAAAATATATTTCATTGGAAAAATACAAAACATAGTTAATTTATCAAATAACAAACTGTAAACTATACATTGAAATATAAAATAATACGTTGTTTTTTTATACAATATTTTTCACTAGAATGAATAAGTTTTACCAGATCTGGTTTTGATAAAAAAAATCATAAACTTTTGTACAAGATAAAGATGAATTTAAACAAATTTTCAATTCAGCCGCAATAAGATCTGTTGACATTCGATTTCCTTGATCATCATACAAACGTTTCATTGTGGAAAAGACACTTTCTACGTATGCATTACTGCATGAAATTGAAAATAAAAACGAGACACATTTGTGTAAATTAGGTGAAGGTTTGATAGAAAGCAGCATTGCCCATAAATGACCAGACCTAATTTCCTTTGATATAATACTATATTCATTTGAATCGTCGCCATTGTCTTGTTTGACTTCAATAGTTTTATCTAGTGAGTTTTTTTTTGTTGAAGTAGCCAATATGTATTTGGATTGTATTTCTTTTCAATATATGATTGAACTTGTTCATAAAGCGAAATATTTTTATTCTGTATGAATCACATAAGAAAAATTATAGCCTAGAACTGAGAAAAGTGACCGCTCTTTGGGGAGACCAATAGAAGGAAGTATCAAACCTCTATAGAATCATTTAAACTTT